CTAAAGCTTTTTCTGAGTCGTTTATGTTCCTGTGGGCGGAGCTAATGTGGCTGTTAGTAAAACGGTGATCTGGTGGCTGAAAACGTTCAGATTAGACCCTGGAAGCAGCGCTGCATCAAATATAGAGCTAAACACACGAGTCTCTATGGGAAATGAAAACATATTATTAATAAAACCATAAACTATCGATCGGTGACCTAAAGAGGCCGACCGTTAAAGAGAAACATCCTTCCTCCCACAGCTATCAGCACTTTGATCGTTTATTAGAACATTTCCAGCCTTCAGAAAGTGAGAAAATATCCAGAATTCATGGATCAGCAGTGAGCTTGTTGTTGTTTTCTGCCTGTTTGGTCAGACTGGAGTCTGACATGATGAAGATGGACGGCGGCCATGTTTCCCTTTGAAGCCTGACTGGCTGCCAGCTGGCGTCGGTCTCTGCCACCAGCAGACTGGGATCATTAGTGCTGCTGGTTCCTTCATCTCAGGCTGCAGCAGCAGCTCCTCCAGTTCATCTGGTCTGATGATGCAGCTCAGCTGCAGCTGGAGGCCCAGTAGTTCATTACCAGCAGCAACAGGAGGGAGATCATCAGGTCAGCCTCAGAGGAGCTGATCGGTAGAAGCTGCCATCAGTCTGCTGCGGGGCGGCGTCTTCTTCTCCACATCTAAGAGCTGCAGAGCTTCTCCTGCAGGCCTCTGGATGCTGCCAGGTGCCTCAGAGGTCCGCCTCTAATCCGGTTCAGATCTTCACTGAGGTCAGATTCTGAACTCTGGATTCCTTCCAGTGAATTAAAGCTCGTTAAGTTTCCTCCTGTAGCTCCGACAGATTTATCAGATTAACAGGTTTAATTATCTTTATCTCTCATCTTTAAATGACAGGAAAGTCATAAACAATCTGTGGTTTGCTAAAGATGCTGGGAAGCTCAGTGCCCGGACTCTGAGGATGCTTTGATTCAATTCTATTCAGTGTATTTCTATAGCTCCAATTCACATCATGTCATCTCAGGTCACTTTCCAGTTCACCAGATCATCCAGTCAGATTGATTCAAAGTTTTCTATCTAAGGAAAATCAGCTGATTGCATCGACTCATTGACTCTTCAGCAATCCCTCACACTAAGCATGCTTGTAGCGACAGTGGGGAGGAAAAACTCCCTTTGAACAGCAAGAAACCTCCAGCAGAACCAGGCTCAGTGTGAGCGGCCATCTGCTGAGGCCCACTGGAGCCTGAGAACTAAAAGATCTGCCTCCCATTCTACTTTTAGAAATTCTAGGAACCACTAGTAAACCTGCAGATTGAGATCGAAGTGCTCTGTTAGGAACATAAGGAACAATCAGATCTCTGATATCAGATGGAGCTTGGCCATTTAAGGCTTTATATGTGAGAAGGAGGATTTTAAATTCTATTCTGGATTTAACAGGAAGCCAATGAAGAGAAGCCAGGATAGGAGAGATATGATCTCTCTTTTTAATTTTCATCAGAACTCTGGCTGCAGCATTTTGGATCAGCTGAAGGCTTTTAACTACAGTTTGTGGACTTCCTGATAGTAAAGAATTACAATAGTCCAGCCTTGAAGTAACAAATGCATGGACTAGTTTCTCAGCATCACCCCTGGACAGGAGATTGCTCATTTTTGCAATATTCCTCAGATGAAAGAAGGAAACATCTCCCCACCTGCCTGATGCAGATGAGGCCATTTTTATAATGAATGATGAATCGTTGGTTTCTTAATCTCTGAAGATGTGTTTGCTGGGATTCTGATGTTGACGATGAGCCTTTCAGAGCCAGCAGGCGTCTCCCTCTCTGGACTCCTCTCAGCGTTCGCTGTCCTGAATAACTGCTGGAGCAGAGCGCTGCTCGCTGGTTTGATGTGACAGAAATGTCAATTGGTTCCTGCTCTGCTCTCACAGCTCTGTGGAACATTATCACTGTAGCTCAGAATATTTCTCATCCCTTTGCCGCTCTGCCAGAGCGCTCAGTAAAACTCCTCTTTAGACATATTGTCTGCAGAGAAACACGTTGATGAAAGATGGAATTGAAAAGTGATTCATCCTTTATGCAGGTAAAACCTGTTAATGATGACGGACGGGATCTCTGGGCGTTCATGTCTCCTTAGAGAACAGATCAGCTTTGGGATGAAATGATTTCAGCTTTTAAAGCTTTGGGAAATAAAATCTGACAAGCTTTCCAGCCCAAAGCTTATTCTACCTGTGGAATCCATCTTCTCGTATCCTCGTAAATATGTCTGTCATGGTTTAACAATCTCCCTTTAAGCTAGAATCCCACGGTTCTGTCTCACAGTGGAAAAAGTTCGGGTGAGGAAACGCTCAGTTTGGCAGGTGAGGTGCAGGATTTAGGACCCGTTTGGATCCATGGTGCTGCTCTGCATCCCTCCAGCATGCGGATCTGAAACGCAACACACTGTTTGGCTTCTAGCTGCAGCTTCTTCCACTCTGAAGAAACTCTGAGGAGAGTTAACCCAAGGACGGCCCCAGGGCCTGATAACACACCTGGACAGGTGTATAAGGAGTGGTCAGATCAGCTGGCTGGTGTCCTCACAGACATCTTTAACACCTGGCTGGACCAATCCATAGTGCCAGCATGCTTCCAGTCTGCCTCCATTATTCCAGTCCCAAAGACGCCTCAGGTCGCCTCCCTCAATGATTAGCGGCCTGTCGCTCTGACTCCCATCATGATGAAGAGCTTCCAAAGGCTGGTTAAAGAACACATCGTCTCCAGTCTGCCGCCAACATTCCACCCGTTCCACCCGCCTAACCACGCTCCACTGCTCATCAACAGCTCAGCTGTAGAGGTGGTCATTCATCACAGACACCCTCACCTGGACTGGAAACACCACCTCACTGGTCCAAAGGGCCCAGAAGGTCCAGCAGGTTCTGCAGCAGCTTCTTCCCCACCGCCATCAGACTGATGAATGTGAGAAAACTCTAAATCATGTCAGAGACTCTGCATCACAGTTATAACACACTATATTAATGCTGGGAACTTCCATATCAATGCACTTTTTCACCATGTTTTTTCTCCCACACTGTTTACATTTGATCACCTCGGCACTTTATGGGATGGAAACGTAATGAGAGCTGAACAAACGAACTCGTTTGAGGACAACATCCATATTCTGGCCAAAGAAGACAGGTGGTTTGATAGAGGGGGTAAGGAAGTCATCTTTGTTAACCTGGAAAGAAAAACATCTCTCAGCAGAGGAGACAGAACTTTTCACCTTCTTCTAAAGACATTTTAGGAACAATACTCAGAAGATTCACCTCCCACCTGCACTCACCTGCCCTCACCTGCCCCCACCTGACTCCCACTTCACTGAGACACGTGACTGACATCACTCTGACGAGGGAGTTAACGACCCATCAGAACCCCCTAATGACCATTAACCCCCCAGGTGTTAGGGATCAGAGCCACCTTTAGTCCCCCTAATTCTTTGTTCCACCTACAGTATATGAATCTCAGCCCCCCCCCACCCCCCCACTAGTTAATGTCACAGTCTTGGTTTTATTATGTTTATTTAGAGTATTCAGTTTTACTTTGCCTCTTGTTTTAGTGTTTAATTATTATTTTGTTGTTTTCTTGTTAGTTCCTGTCTTCCTGGTTTTCCATTTGTTGTCCTCTGCTGCCCTCTTGTGTCCTCTTTCCCTTGCTCTGTTTTCTGTTCTGCCCTCACCTGTTTTCAATCCCCTCGTTAGCCCTCTCTTTGTCTCTGTCCCCTTTAAAAGCCCTCCCTCTTCAGCTCCTGTTTGCTGGATCCTCGTCTAACGTCTGTCTGCTTACCTCGTCTCTCCCTGGCTCCTAGAGTTTGGTTTTTCCCTGATGTCTCCGTGGTTCTTGTTCGTTTGTTATTTTTGTTGGATCTTTGATTCCTGCCTCAGTATCTGTGAACCTCATTAAACCCACCTATAGTCACCTCTGCCATCTTGCCTCTGCTTTTGGGTCCTCAATCCAACACCAAATCCTGACAGTTAAAGCCTCTTGGATGAGAGGAGAATCGTCTTCTAGAAAACTTTACGTCCAGTTGCCTAAACCCACCTTTTTGGAGCTTGACCTGCGTGACTGAGAATCTTTACAGACATGTTACCTGCATGATTTCCTGACGATGGAGAATTAGATTCTTCTTTCATCGTGTTGTTTTGCTTCCCTCTAAGTGGAATGTTGCTCTGTGGGGATTTAAACGGTTCTTTCCTCTGTGGGTTTATTTCATTATCTAAAGAAAATCAGTGAATACTTTCAGCAAACTGCAGCCCATCAAAAGCTGAGGAGCGTGTTTCCTTAGAATGACGCTGGATGGAGCTTTTCCTGCAGGTCTGAGATGTTCCCTGGTCTACAATGGAACTGTCCAGCTCAGAGACTCAATGACTGCAGGACGTCATTCCTAGAAATAATTCTCCTCAAACATCTAAGCAACAAAGTGACTCAGAGGCTGAATAGCGAAGCTTTTCGATGTGGATTCAGGGTTTTTATCTGCAGCTCTCAGTTAAACGCTCCTAAAGTAGATCCATTAAAAGCAGAGGAGTATTTATCTGCTAATGAGGCAGATTCATTTAAAACGTCGGACCTGAAATGGAGCCATCAGGGAGATCCTGACAGAGACCCAGACCCAGATCAGGTCCTAAACAGAAACATTCTGCCTGCTTTTTAGCTTTTCATGATTGTTGCTGATTTTTTCCCTAAAATGTTTCCACTGAAATATTCAGCATTGCCTATTTTAGGAAAACAGAAGCAATATGAACTGCTGGATGAAAGAATTGGTTCAATTTACTCAGTGACACTAGAGGCCTTTATTTTGAAGCACAAAGACAGGAAGTAGGCACTAAGGTCAGCCCTTTGTTAGCCTGTAAACAGAGTCTAACCCTAACCCCTGTTCACCTCTTTGATGAATTTCTCATCTCATCTGCAGGATCTGATCTGATGGAATTTATTAAACCTTTGCTAGTAGATTATTTTATTAGGTTTTAAGTGACTCTCCTGTCTGTTTGATAGGACATCGGACCTGTTGGACCAGACAGGAACTGGAAGGGGATCGGCATCTCGCTGCTGGTCATTGTGGTCGTGCTTTCCTTCATTGGACTCTCCATCGTTCTGCTGTCCAAAGGTGAGCTAACAACCTTCTCTGAAATGCAACCAAGGTATTCAGGTGAAAACAGATGCAGGAACATCTGGTTAGTGAAATGACTCGGACAGAGAGAACCAGAAATCAAGGAACAACAGACAGCGGGATCATTCAAAAGCGTTTATAAAAAACCCAGAACTGTAGTTGAAGCAGCATTTATAGAAGGAAACTCTGTAAGAGGAAACAGCTTAGTGACCATGAAAACCTGACGGAGGAAGATGACGAATGTCTGAGTCACTAGAATCCAGCCGCTGGGCTGCCAACGAGAAGTGGTGGGCGCCACCCAGAGCGTCCCAGACGCTGCAGCCCAGGAAAACATGCAGTCTGAAGACAGGTCAGGCAAACTGTTCAGACGGGCACAGGAAGGCTCAGCATCTGAGAGGCAGAACAGGTCAGGAAATCAGAAACTCTATGGAAGGCTAAAAACCCTCTCTCTCCTCTGGCACCCCACATGGAGATTCATCTGATAACTGGCAGGAGCAGGTGGATCAGAGGAGAAGTCATTGGAAACTGGGCAGAGTTAGACAGGTGAATGAAAATAATAATTAGAGCCAATCATCAGTGCCAAGATCATGACAGTTAGTTTCTGATAGCAGATGTTCAAATTGGATTTAAGGATGGCCCCAAGATCCATGCTGAGGATGCAGAGAGTCGCTGAACCCCCCCCAGCCATTTTAAATTTAATTTACACATTTTAAAATGAATTGGAAATTGCACTAATTAATCTGTTATTAAATACTGGAACTGATCGATTGATTGAGTTTATTGATCTCACAGTGGAGAAATCAATGCTGAAATTCCTGCTTTCATCGTCTGTAATCGTAGATTCATCAGCTATCCTTTAAATCCAAACATGTAAACATCTTCCACTGACAAGATTTTAAACACACGATAGATGGTATTAGTGTCTCATCAATGCCGTAGCTTCTGAACTAGCCTGGTTGATGAAGTCTGATGATAAACTCTACAAAGCCGGGCGAACACTGTGCTATTTTTTCAGTCGTTGCACGCAGCTGCTGCTCACACTGTACGACTCACCGCAGGGTTTAGTCGTACAGTGAGAGCTCATAGCTCACGATTTATGTTCGGCCCCGACGCTCTGATGCGATCTACCTGCTCACACTGTACGTCTAAAAACCAGGTGGGACTCAGCTCCGCAGTGGGATGGCGCTACTCGGACTCGTCTATCTGAAGCCAAACCAGTAGCAGAGGAACATGAAGCTCACTAGAGTGAAACGCGCTGCCTTGGATATTTGGGCAATTTAGTGCTGAAAGCCCTAAAAAGAAAAGGAGACGACATATTTGGACAAAGACATGGCTGAGCTAACGTGGCTAGAAAGAACTTCATTTCACTCATTGCCCCCCCGCCATGCTGCTGGGTTTACATCTGAAAGGAAGAAGAAGAAGAATCCTTGTTGCCCACTGAGCAATTTGCCCACGACGGTCGGTCCTGACCTCACGATTCCTGATCAGGAGTCAGTTGTGAGAGGCTGATCGCCCCCCCCCCCCCCCCCCCCCCTTGTACACTACACGACTCATGACGCACGATCAGGCTGAAAGTCGGGCCGATCGAAATATTCTTGCACGACTGAAAAATTGCCCCTAAAATCGCACAGTGTACGCCCGGCTCAAAGGGTGCCCAGTATGGTTCACTATTTTCATTATTTTCTTCTTGGTTTGATTTCCCAGCTGGGAATTTATGTTTATTACTCTCCCCAGTAAGGGGGGGGGGTATCTTATTTAATTAGATATTATTTCAGCTGTTATATACTGTTTATGACACACAGTCCTACTAACTATGTGTTAGAACAATAGATGAAAGAGTGATTCGAGCACTAATCATGGTCAAACTGTTATTTCTGCACATTTATGGAATAAATTCAACACAACTTCTGTTCAAAATATAAGATTTTATTAACAAAAATCATTCAGCTCCAAGTCAAACGTATTTCAGTTTAACACTCTCAACTAAGACTAGTAAAACTCAACTAAACTAAACTAACTACTATGTACAAAGAGGAAGGGGAAAACAGTTGAAAACCAGATTACAGTTCAAGATGGATTCTGTGTTTGAAACCAAAGTTTATCTGGAAGAATTTGGGATCTGATCAAATTAGCTTTTCACTAATTTTAAAGAAGTTGGAATGTTTTCAGACCAATTCACAATGCAAATCCATGAGGTGAATAAAACATTATTGATGTTTTATTGAATGATTTGCTTAATCAGGAACCAATAACCTTTAGTTAAATGATTCTTTACCCTCTTTGAAATAGCCAGCAGTGAATAGACATCAGGATTCCACTAAATGACTCTTGGTCAGACTTGGTAATGGAAATGTAATGAGCATCTGAGGAACACATGAACACTAATGTTATATCAGTGTTTAATCCTTAGTGAATAAAGCTCTAAGCTTTAGCAACAGCTCAACACATATTCCTGTAGCATAGCGTAGCATGCAGTCCATTCTTTAGCGTCAGTTAGCGTCGTCTTTACTCAGCAGCAAACTCTCTGATCTCCGTCTAGAGTTTCTGGTTCACCTGAGCGCTGGATATTCCCCAGAGAATCCTTGGTTTATGTCCCTCTTAGTGTCATTATCTGTTCAACTTTTCCCGCCTCTGAGGTGTATCTGCATGTGGGCAAAATATTTGAAAACCATCACGACAATAACCTGAATAGAATTCTAATAAAATGGACATTGGATGGACTATTGGATGGAGATTAAAGCGTTTGGCATTTAGCATCACAGTACGAGTTGGAAAAACTATATCTGTTATATTTAACAACCCTGCGGTGGTCTAAGGTTGAACAAGTCATTTTATTCATGATTAAACTTATTCTGAACATTGAAGAATGAAGCTCTAGTTTCAGGACAGACCAGCTAACCTTCTGTTTGCTTTCTGTCCTCAGATGGTTCAGGGAACCTGTGCGGCTCGCCGCTGACTCTGGACGACCTCTTTCAGAGGAACTTTCAAATCCATGATCCAGAGGCAACATGGATGAGCTGTAAGTCCTCCCAGAGATGTCCATGGGAAGAAACGCATCAACCTTTCACTTTGGTCTGTAGGGACAACGCTCTGCAGTAAAGTTTGTTTGGTTGATGCATGGAAATGATTGTTTTAAAAACTTCCAGCATCTCAGTATTAGCTGCATGTTTAACTGCTTCATTACTGAATGAACTGATGATATAATTAACTGGACTTGGTGCCTCAGGAGTCCTATCCAGCCAACCAGGCTGGATAGGACTCCTTCTCAGGCTTTACAGCATCCTAATGTAACATACTGGCATGAGACAAACAATGATCTGGCCCCGATAGCTGGACTTTGCCCAATATAAAGCAGAACATGCAGGTGGATGGGATCACTGATATTAGGAGCCGGGCAGAATAAAGCAGGTGAAAGATGTGAACCATTTAGTCCAGCCATCAGGGCAGATCAGGACATTCACTCCTTAACTAGGATCAACAAACAGTGAAGGTTTTCAGGATGTTTGTTTCTCTAAACATTCAGTCGGTTCTCTGACTGAATGTTTAGAGAAATAATCCTTCAGTTTTTCTGGCATGAATATAAAATCTGAGGAAATACAGCTTAGATTTTACATGACAGGAGCTCTTTGGAGGATATGAACGCCACCATCCATCTGTCTTTCATGTTTACTTCCCTGTCATTATCCTCTGAAGTGCTTGGAGTGTTTGCTGGGCGTGCGTGCCTCCTGGCTCATACTGATGCCTCACAGCCTCTTCTCTGACATCTACAGAAGACGGGGAGCTTGAACTGATTCAGATCTGTCAGATGAATTAATGGAGTTAAGGCCTCTGTGGACTGGGAGCTTGGTTTGGGATTAGAACAGAGTTATTGTTTTCCTTTGCTGAAATCTGAAACGTAGCCTCAGTCAGATTGGTCCCGGTTCTATTAGGACACATCTGAGCAAGTATCCAAAGCTCATTTAGAAAATTACAGGAGAATCTAGAATGTTTTCTGCAGTCTTATAAAGCTTTGGTATACGGGAATGATAAAGTAAACAAACCTGTAACAGATCCTGATGCCACAGGATGTGATGCTGTGGGCCCGTTGCCTTGGTGACAGTGTCCAATAAAATGAGTCAGCAATGGGTCAGTCCAGAGAACAGTAACTGGGGTCCAATGACCTTTGACCTTCTGTGTCAAACATCTGAGCAGAATTTCAAGGCAAGAAATAAAAATCATCAGATCCAGAAACACTTTGGTGTAACATAAAGTCAATATTAATGCAGAAATATGTAAGCAGGACAGAAGGAGACAAACCAGAACCAACAGAACCGTCCCATGGCCAACCACTGGCTACAAACACTAAGGCTCAAATCACACCTTGCTCTTCAGAACCTTGTTAGCTGAGAGTTACCACTGACCCAAAGTCCAGCAGGTTCAGTGATGCAGGAAGCTGAACTAAAGTGGAGCAACAGCAGGAAGAATTGGTGGCTAAAAATCAGCTGGTATGTTGTTCAACCTTTACCTGTCAGTGTGTTTCTGCACCAATAAACATCTTCATGGGCCTCAGATGTCCAGCAGCTTCCAGATGTTTTATATCAAGGACTCCTCACTGGAACTACAACACCGTCATGATCGGTGACCCACATGCAGAGAAACCACTCAGAGAGCGCAGAAAAACTTTATTGAAGGAGTAACGGGTACGGATCTGGAACTCAGTGAGCTGGTGACCCGGAACTGGAAGTGAGAAGGGAAGTACAATGGTGAGTTCAGGTTCTGTGGGAATGTTGGTAGCTCAGATATTTAGCGTGGTTTGGAACTCAAGTTTGAGGGGGGGCTTGTTAGTCCTTGAATCCAGACTGTGTGGTGAATCCTGGGTTACTGTAGCACACGTTGGAGGTCGGACAGGTTAGACTGGCGTAGGACCCGGAGGAGTAATGGAGCAGCACTGCACTCCAGCAGTGAAGGCTGTCCCACATCAGGAAGAGGAGGTTCTCTGCCTTGACACAGCCGACGTGTGGAAGACTCTGAGGAGGGTCAACCCGCGGAAGGCCCCAGGTCCCGACAACATACCTGGGCGGGTGCTCAAGGAGTGTGCAGGTCAGCTAGCTGGTGTCCTCACGGACATTTTTAACACCTCGCTGGAGCAAGCCACAGTGCCAGCATGCTTCAAGTCTGCCTCCATCATCCCAGTGCCAAAGAAACCTCAAGTCACCTGCTACAACGACTACCGGCCCGTCGCACTGACTCCCATCATGATGAAGTGCTTTGAAAGGCTGGTAAAGGAACACATCGTCTCCAGTCTCCCCCCAACACTCGACCCGTTCCAGTTTGCCTACCGGCGAAACCGCTCCACTGAGGACGCCATCTCCTCTGCTCTTCACCTGAGCCTGGCCCACCTGGAGGAGAAGAACACCCACGTGCGGATGCTGTTCCTGGACTTCAGTTCAGCGTTTAACACCATCATCCCACAGCACCTGGTGGGAAAGCTGGAACATCTGGGCTTCAACACACCCCTTCGAAACTGGCTGCTGGACTTCCTCACCAACAGACCTCAGTCAGTCCGGGTCGGTCAGAACACCTCTGATGTCATCACCCTCAGCACGGGCTCCCCTCAGGGCTGCGTCCTGAGCCCCCTGCTGTTCACCCTGATGACATATGACTGCGTCCCCAGGTTCACCACCAATCACATCGTGAAGTTTGCGGACGACACCACGGTGGTGGGCCTCATCAGGGACGACAACGACCGGGACTACAGAGAGGAGGTGGAGCAGCTGGTGGACTGGTGCAGTGAAAACAGTCTGATCCTGAACGTGGAGAAGACGAAGGAGATCATCGTCGACTTCAGGAAAAACCGCCCCCACCATGCTCCACTGCTCATCAACAGCTCAGCTGTGGAGGTGGTCAGCAGCACAAAGTTCCTGGGGGTGCACATCACGGACAACCTCACCTGGACTGTAAACACTTCATCTCTAGTGAAGAGGGCACAGAAGCGCTTGTACTTTCTGCGGAGGATGAGGAGAGCCCGCCTGCCCCCGCCCATCCTCACAACCTTCTACAGAAGCACCATAGAGAGCATTCTGACCAGCTGTCTCTCTCTGTGGTGTGGAGGCTGCAGAGCCTCTGACTGGAAGAATGTGAGGAGGGTGGTGAGGACAGCGGAAGGAATCATTGGGGCTCCTCTTCCCTCCATTAAGGACATTTCATCACAGCGCTGTGTGTCCCGAGCCCGTAATATCATCAAAGACCCCTCACACCCCCACCATGGACTGTTCTCCCTGCTGCCCTCTGGAAAGAGGTTCCGCAGCATCCGCTGCAGATCCACCAGGTTGTGCAACAGCTTCTTCCCCACTGCCATCAGACTGTTGAACCTTTGATCCACAATCCGAACTCTGCACCTATTGCACATTATCGGGCATCAAATGCTGCTGAACTTTTAACTTTTAGCCCTTTAAATTGTTCATCTCATTGTATTTTTCAATAACGCATTTTTTGCACAAATGCCATTTTGCACTGAACCACTGCAACTTGCACACTGTCTCTTATCCTCTGCACTGTTCACACTTTGACCACTGCTGCACTTTTTGTATTTTTCTATAACTCGTGCCATTTGAAATATCAATGCAACGTTCATAAGCTGTATGTAACGCAATTTCGTTCTGTATGCACCCTGTGCATACAAAATGACAAATAAAGAAGTCTAAGTCTAAGTCAGACTGTCACTAGGATTTCTGATGGGAACTTGAACGGAACATGTGGAGGTTTTCCCCTGCTCAGTGTGACGTTTTATTTTCCTTCCAGGGGAAGGAAGGTCCAGGTATCCCGTAACAAAGGAAAGCTTCCTGCCGAGGAGCAAAGACAAAAATAAGTTAGACTCAGAGAAACGAAGTTAGATTAGACTCCGTTAACTCCGCTTGGCTAGAGTACCCAAACCTGGCAAACACTCGAGGTAGTGACAGTCCACTGCTCAAATACTCCTCCAGATAATGGTCCAACGAGCCGCAGGTGTGAAGGGAGGGACAGCAAAGACAGGGCACCTCCTGGTGGTGAAAAACGGAAACACAAAAACAGGCCACAGAAACTGGATTCTTAACAAACACAGAGAAACAGAACGGCAGAAAATAAACTTTCTAAAGAAGGATAGAATTTCTTCAGCTGCTCAGAGCCCCTCCAAACTACAAGACATGCAACCAAAAAAGTGGCGAACGGGTCCCCCCCTTTGGAATGGGGGTCATTTGGCTTCTTTTGTTAGCCTGCAATACCCCATACCTGTCCATTTTTTATTCTTTCTAACAGTGTCCTGTCTGGCAATGTGGCAATAAGAATAATTGTCTTGATGCCAAAAAGAGCCCAACAGATTTTACTTTCACCAGTGGAGCAGTACGGCTATCGCCATAGTGTTCCGCTGGATTTATGCATATAAATAGCCTTATTATAATTCATGCAGAGAGTATTACAGAATATATGGACACTGCAATGGAAGTAGAACAGGAAAGGAAAAACAGGAATAAGGAGAAAAGAAGATGAAAGAAACAAGATAATGATAAAATATCTTAATTCTGCTCAATCACCTCCAAAGAGACGTAAAAAGAACAGAACAACCAATAGATATAAGATATACAATAAAATAGCACCTTAATATTATAGCTAAAGTATAAGTAGTATTATTTAATCTGATGTACTCTTTGTTACCTGAAGATCAGAATGTGGGCTTTCTGTGTGGAAGTGAATCTCTGAGAACCTGGAACCAAGAACCTGTAGTTGTTGAGAGTGAACTTGTGCATTTAAAGTTTATCCAAAGGAAAAATGCTCAATAGTGGTCGTGAAGAGCCAAAGACACGCCCCCCAGAGCACCGAGGACAGCGACGAGGGGCCCACAGGCCTAGGCACCCAGGGGGATCCCAAGAGAACACGCCCAGGAGGGGCCAACCCAGAAAATCCGACCCCCACCAAGGGAGGAGGAGAGATGACCGTGAGGAAATCTCCCAGCCACTGCAATGCTGGCACCCCCAGGAGCCGCTGGAACGAATCTGCAGGTTCCACCTGCAGCCTGTCACCCCAGAGGGGATCCGGCCATAGAGCCCGAGGCCCCAGGGGTGGCCCACCCCCCTGCATGAGACCAGGCCCCGCGGAGCAGCCGCCAGGAATAAGCCAGTAGCCCCCCAGGCATCCACCCCCAAACACCGAGCACCAGTGAGCCCAGGCGCCAGCCAGTGGAGGAAGGGCAGGACGGGGGGAATGGACCTTGAGATGTTCTGGGAGAGGGAGGAGTTCAGAGACCCCAACTGGACAAATGCAAAAAAAATAAAAAAATACACTGTCTAAATCACGCCTTCCCACCCTAGTGCCCCCCCCCTCGCACCACACAGTCTCTGTCTACGTCTCTGAAAGGCGGGGGGTCGTTAAAAGGAATAGTTGGCCTGGCTGAACAGGCGAGGTCTTCTGTTCCCTGTGAAGCGGTGGGGGTGCGATGATGGCGGGAAGGAATTGACCCGATTGCTGCCTTGTAGGTTTTTGAAAGCTGAAATCTGAGTCCCCCCCCACTTCATTGTCACACGTGTTACTAGAAAGATTAAAGGAGCCAAACTAATGCTGCCACCCAAATATCAACCTTCTTCTATGGCCGCCTTCCCCATCGGCCGCTATAGAGTCCAGGACTAGTCTGGGTTTTATTTTTAAATCTGTCCTGTGACACAGTGACAGGAGGTAAAGTGTTGACTTTATTTCTTAAACTTTACAGCGGATGAAATCCTCTTCCGAAGTTGGGAAGGAGATGTTTTCAAAGTCAACATCTACAGCAACGAGACCGAACTCCTGATAAAAAACACCACCTTTGTGAGTAAGACGGATGTTTTAGTCAGAATAATAATCCTATGCTGTCAGCATGGAGGGCTGGTGGCCAGAAGCCTTTACTAGCCTCTGATTCTCTTTATAAGGCCCCTGGCTCAGCTTCATTTCCTGTTTTCTCCACAGGTGACATTTAAGGCAACAAAGTTTGCCGTTTCTCCCGATATGAACTTTGTTCTTCTGGGATATGACGTCCAACAGGTGAGTGTCAGAACCTCCTTCATCTCAGACCTTTGTTTCCAAGCTGCTAGGCTACCTGTAGGTGGCGCTGGGGGCACAGTGTCCCCATCTAGTGTTTGCACTAGTTTTATCTGGCAGCTCATCCTGAGTCATGGTCCAACTTTACTGGAGATGAATGGAGATTAGGTTTAGGTTAGAAACAATCAGCAGTGAAGGAAGGACATAACTCATGTTTATCGGCAGCGATGGTTCTGGATCCAACGAACTGAGGCTGGGAGCTCATGGTCCATCTTCCATTTTTATGCAATAGTTATATAGTTAAATACCCATCTATATAAATACCCATGTAAACACCATGTGCAATAACCCTGTATAATAATACTGCTATTAAAAAATTAATAAAAGCTGTCCTATGTGGACACACTGTATATCCTGTATATATATATCCCATCATGCACCTTTTTCTTCCTTTGGCTCCTTCTTCTTCTGCTTTGACTATTTGAACTGATGGAAAGAGTTAATTACTTCACTGTGAGATCAATAAAGTAAATCAATCAATCAATCAATCAATCAATCAGTCAATCAATCAACCAGGCTGTACCGTCCTGAGTGGGGACCCCTCCCCTCCAATGGACAAAAACCACTGTGTTTCTGTGGAACTGGAAGGACTGATGATCAGAGCAGAGAGATGAGGAAAAGCCAACTGATGGATGAAAAAAGGCTTGTTCCAAACACCAGGAACTCACAGACCAGAACCTGAACCCAAAGTAATGGAGATGGTGGGAAAGCAACATGGCCGACAGCGTGAAGTCCTCCTCAGACTGGAGCTGCAGGCCTTTGCTGATGGTTCTCTGTTTGGGTTTCAGGTCTTCAAGCATTCCTTTCTGGCTTCGTATCTGATCTACAACCTGTTCACCAGGTAACACCGACCTCCTGTTCGCATCAGACGTCTTCCTGCGGGGAAATGCTTCATGTCTGCTTCCTTTCCTGTCACAGAGAAGTGCAGGAGCTGAATCCTCCGGAGGTGTCCAACTCTGTCCTCCAGTTTGCCTCTTGGGGCGTTCAGGGCCAGCAGCTGGTGAGTCCAGCTACACAACCCGCTCTGAAACACCTGGGTTAGCTTCCTCTGAAACACCCTGGTTTGCTTCCTCTGAAACACCTGGGTTTCAGTGGCGGCTGGTGAAAAATATTTTTGGTGGGGCTGATATAGCCTAGTGTATGTCTCCAACTAATCCGGAATAAGAATTCAAATAAACAATTGGACAATACATACAATTTAACAGTAATGATTTAATTTACTATATAATAACAGTAACAGTGATGATTTGGGTCACTGTGACGGGGTTCTTTGGCCTCCAAGAATCCAGGCTCAGTCGGGTTACCGGTGTTGGTGATTTATTGAGCTCAAAACTCAAAACAGGGTGCAAAAGAAACTAAACATGTACAAGATCCTCTGGGGCTCAGCCTCCCTCCAGTTACCAGCAATGTAACAAAGAAACAGAAAACAAAAATTGCCGCTCTTCTTCCCACAGCCCTCATTAAATAGTTTAAGCCCCTCACATCAGGCTCTCTTATTTCTGATTTCTTCTCATTAATCAGTTTTGTCCATATATTACCTCCACAAACAATTGATGTACAAAAACAAATAATTTTTACAACTTAATTCTTTTACACAGATTCATTGACTTATTCAATTACACCAAACTGGGTTTGAACCCAGCAAAGACGCAGCCAGACTGAAGATGACAAGTCCCCGCATAAACATGTACACACCCACACCCCCCCCCCCCCCCCACACACACACACACACACACACACACACACACACACACCCACACACACACACGGCTAACCCCACTGAAATATTAAGTGTGCACCCTCAATACGCCAGCAGGTAACCAGGAACAGCTTGTGTGTTTTAAGTTCATGGAGCTACTGGTCTCAGCGCGAGTGTATTGGTCCTCACAAACACAGTATAACAGGAATGTGTGTGTGGCGCGCAAAGTTAGAGAGGTTGTTTTAAGCGACGAGGTGGATTCGTCACAGTCACAATAACCATGACAGGAAATGTTCATATCCTACAACAGGGATATTCTTCTGGCAAACGGGTAGATAAATAAGGATCTCACCGAATTTGGTGGAAGCTGCATCTCGGTCGTTACATTCGCCATCTTCCCTCTAATTGTCTGCACCTGCGCTTGGGTTCAGAAGCCTGTTAAAGCGCAGTATTTTCAGCGCCCCAAGACCATAAAGTTCCGAGACGCTGATTGGCCATTAAATTCACCTAGCAATAGTACATGATTGACAGATTCTCTGCAAATGTGGGTCAGTCTGATCAGCGCCCCCAGAACAGAGACGGTAGGAGTCTGTCTGTGGAAATCCACAAATAATGACAGTAGATAGGGAAATGTAGTTTATATAATTTGTTTTGCTTATAGGTACACAGTCTATAGAGTAAAACTGACATTTATGAGTTAATTTCTAAAAATATATTTTACGTTTCTCTCTTCTTATCAGGGAGGGCGGTGCCCCAGCGCCCCCTATGGGCCGGCCGCCACTGCTGGGTTTGCTTCCTCTGAAACACCTGGGTTTGCTTCCTCTGAAACACCTGGGTTTGGCTCATCTGAAACACCTGGGTTAGCTTCCTCTGAAACACCCTGGTTTGCTTCCTCTGAAACACCTGGGTTTGCTTCCTCTGAAACACCTGGGTTTGCTTCCTCTGAAACACCTGGGTTTGCTTCCTCTGAAACACCTGGGTTTGCTTCCTCTGAAACACCTGGGTTTGCTTCCTCTGAAACACCTGGGTTTGCTTCCTCTGAAACACCCTGGTTTGCTTCCTCTGAAACACCTGGGTTTGCCTCCTCTGAAACACCTGGGTTTGCCTCCTCTGAAACACCTGGGTTTGCCTCCTCTGAAACACCTGGGTTTGCCTCCTCTGAAACACCTGGGTTTGCCTCCTCTGAAACACCCTGGTTTGCTTCCTCTGAAACACCTGGGTTTGCTTCCTCTGAAACACCTGGGTTTGCTTCCTCTGAAACACCTGGGTTTGCTTCCTCTGAAACACCTGGGTTTGCTTCCTCTGAAACACCTGGGTTTGCTTCCTCTGAAACACCTGGGTTTGCTTCCTCTGAAACACCCTGGTTTGCTTCCTCTGAAACACCTGGGTTTGCCTCCTCTGAAACACCTGGGTTTGCCTCCTCTGAAACACCTGGGTTTGCCTCCTCTGAAACACCTGGGTTTGCCTCCTCTGAAACACCTGGGTTTGCCTCCTCTGAAACACCTGGGTTTGCCTCCTCTGAAACACCTGGGTTTGCTTCCTCTGAAACACCTGGGTTTGCTTCCTCTGAAACACCTGGGTTTGCTTCCTCTGAAACACCTGGGTTTGCTTCCTCTGAAACACCCTGGTTTGCTTCCTCTGAAACACCTGGGTTTGCCTCCTCTGAAACACCTGGGTTTGCCTCCTCTGAAACACCTGGGTTTGCCTCCTCTGAAACACCTGGGTTTGCTTCCTCTGAAACACCTGGGTTTGCTTCCTCTGAAACCCCTGGGTTTGCCTCCTCTGAAACACCTGGGTTTGCCTCCTCTGAAACACCTGGGTTAGCTTCCTCTGAAACACCCCGGTTTGCTTCCTCTGAAACACCTGGGTTTGCTTCCTCTGAAACACCTGGGTTTGCTTCCTCTGAAACACCTGGGTTTGCTTCCTCTGAAACACCTGGGTTTGCTTCCTCTGAAACACCTGGGTTTGCTTCCTCTAAAACACCTGGGTTTGCTTCCTCTGAAACACCTGGGTTTGCCTCCTCTGAAACACCTGGGTTTGCTTCCTCTGAAACACCCTGGTTTGCTTCCTCTGAAACACCTGGGTTTGCCTCCTCTGAAACACCTGGGTTTGCCTCCTCTGAAACACCTGGGTTTGCTTCCTCTGAAACACCTGGGTTTGCTTCCTCTGAAACACCTGGGTTTGCTTCCTCTGAAACACCTGGGTTTGCTTCCTCTGAAACACCTGGGTTTGCTTCCTCTGAAACACCTGGGTTTGCTTCCTCTAAAACACCTGGGTTTGCTTCCTCTGAAACACCTGGGTTTGCCTCCTCTGAAACACCTGGGTTTCCTTCCTCTGAAACACCCTGGTTTGCTTCCTCTGAAACACCTGGGTTTGCCTCCTCTGAAACACCTGGGTTTGCCTCCTCTGAAACACCTGGGTTTGCTTCCTCTGAAACACCTGGGTTTGCTTCCTCTGAAACACCTGGGTTTGCTTCCTCTGAAACACCTGGGTTTGCCTCCTCTGAAACACCTGGGTTTGCTTCGTCTGAAACACCCTGGTTTGCTTCCTCTGAAACACCTGGGTTTGCTTCCTCTGAAACACCTGGGTTTGCTTCCTCTGAAACACCTGGGTTTGCTTCCTCTGAAACACCTGGGTTTGCTTCCTCTAAAACACCTGGGTTTGCTTCCTCTGAAACACCTGGGTTTGCTTCCTCTGAAACACCTGGGTTTGCTTCCTCTGAAACACCTGGGTTTGCCTCCTCTGAAACACCTGGGTTTGCCTCCCCTGAAACACCTGGGTTTGCTTCCTCTGAAACACCTGGGTTTGCTTCCTCTGAAACACCTGGGTTTGCTTCCTCTGAAACACCTGGGTTTGCTTCCTCTGAAACACCTGGGTTTGCTTCCTCTGAAACACCTGGGTTTGCTTCCTCTGAAACACCTGGGTTTGCCTCCTCTGAAACACCTGGGTTTGCTTCCTCTGAAACACCTGGGTTTGCTTCCTCTGAAACACCTGGGTTTGCCTCCTCTGAAACACATGGGTTTGCCTCCTCTGAAACACCTGGGTTTGCTTCCTCTGAAACACCTCGGTTTGCTTCCTCTGAAACACCTGGGTTTGCTTCCTCTGAAACACCTGGGTTTGCTTCCTCTGAAACACCTGGGTTTGCCTCCTCTGAAACACCTGGGTTTGCCTCCTCTGAAACATGCTGCTGTGTTCTTAGTCTGACAGTGAGGCCGCCATGGTTATTTCAGAGTGCTGGTTCAGACCCACCTCATGGTGGACGGGTTTGTTCTGTGAGAACCGTTTCACCTCCTTCCTGTTTCCTGACCCAAAGTTCGGCTCTCTTTATTAAAGGGACAGGATTCCTGAATTCCAATCTGGGGATATTTCCAGCTCATTGATAAAAAGATATTCATCAAAATTAAAATAGGAAACTGGGACAGTGATTCTTTCATCCAATTTTACATATTTATTAACATTTGGACAAGTTTAAAATCCAGCAATAAGCTTCTCATATTTCCTAAAATCAAAATCAATCATTCTATAGTGTTTATCAGCTATCTGGTCATTTAGTCTTCTTCCCTCGATCTTCTTTTCTTTCTAGCTGACTTCTTCCTGCTCTTTGTTTGACTTTTCTAAGCAGTGGCGGCTGGCCAATAGAGGGCGCTCCACCCACCTGATGACCCTGATTCAATTAAATTTAATTCAGTTTATTTATATAGCGCCAATTCACAAGACAAGTAATCTCAAGGCACTTTACAGTTTACATCTCTGAAAGGGGGGGGGGTCGTTAAAAGGAATAGTTGGCCCTCAGGACCCCGGGGCCCATGGCCGGTTCCACTTCGGGGTGGCTGGCAGACGGTGGAGGCCGCAGACTCCCGGGGGCTTTGGCATTGCGGTGGCTGAGGGATTTCCTCGGGGTCGTCTCTCCTCCTCCATTGGTGGGGGTGGGGTTTCTTGGGTCTGATCCTCCTGGGCTCCTTGGCTCTTGGGGCCCCTTTGGGCGTCTGGGGCTTTGGATCCCCTGGCGCTCGCCTCGGTGCTCTGGGGGGGGGCGCGTCTTTGGCTCTTCACGACCACTATTGGGCATTTTTCCTCATCAACTCATCAAGTTATTCCACCAGGATAGACTCCATGTTTACAGTTTGGTTTCTTCTCTGATAAACAGATCTAAGCTGTTTATTCTGATTCACCCCCCCCCCCCCCCCCCCCCATTAAATGTATAAAAAAAGAAAAAACTAAAAGAAAGCATTTTGAAGAAAATCAGAAGCAACTAAAAGAGCAGAATCAATAATTAATCCTAAATAATCATTTATTTGTGGTTGAATGTTTAGACATTTTATGGTTATTTCTTAGAAAAAAAATAATTATATTAACGGGTGATTGTTGACAATTAGTTTTTATTCAATATTTTCCAGGCTGAATAGCGGAGCAATCAGAGGAGCAGAAAGGAGGCGCAGAAGGAGCAGAAATCATTCTGCCTCATTTATTGCACATCTTTACGGCCTCAGATCGGCTCTGTGAGAGAAAAGCCTCCATTAAACCGATGCTTCCAGTCAGCAGCTGTCTTTCTGCTGACTAATAATTACTCTATGATTTTATTCACACATAAACAATCAAATATTTTAAATTGAGTTGATACAACTTCTAATTTTTAACTAAATAACTGATAAAAAAATCTGACTATAAATTCAGGAAAATCTGTTTGCAAGCTGCAGCTCTGAGGCGACCCAAGAGGGAGCTCTGATAGAAATGGTGTATGAGGGGCCTTGATGGACGGTGTATGAGGGGCCATGTTGGGCGGTTTGTAAATAAAAGACTTCTTGTTGAAATCAGAATCCTTAGGTTATCTCTTTGTTCCACAGATCTATATTTTTGAAAATAACATCTACTACCAGAATCACACCCAGAGCAGCTCATGGAGGCTCACCTCATCTGGACAGGAGGGCGTGGTCTTCAATGGCATTGCTGATTGGCTGTATGAGGGTAAGTCTGAGCCAAACAGCGTCCAGGACGGTCCTGCTAAATTTACAGCCAAAGTTTCACCTAATTAACCTTTTCTCCAAGCATCAGAATTTAATGTCAGTTCAAATAATTTTCTTCTTGTAATCCGTATTAAGTTATTTTTTCCTGAAGTTTCTACAGTGATGTCCTTCTTTGCTTCTCTATATTTCTCCCTCTATATTTCTTTGTTTATTGATGTAGTTTTAATGATTTATTTAAATTTCATTTGGACCATTCCTTTGCTTCATCCTTTCTGAGGCATCTAACAGCCTCACTGACGGAGGAAGCTCCCCTTCTAAAGGGTTCAGGCTAGGCTAACAATGCTAACTGAACTGGACATGTCTGTTTCTCCAGAGGAGGTGCTGGACTCCCAGGTGGCCCACTGGTGGTCACCAGATGGCTCCAGGCTGGCCTACCTCACCATCAATGACACCCTGGTGCCCAGAATGGTTCTGCCTCGTTTTACCGGCTCGCTCTACCCCAGAGGGATGGAGTACCCGTACCCCAAGGTGGGTCTCAGAAGTCCAGCTGATCTGGGATGGGTCAGGTTGTTGGTATGACTTAATGGAACAGCCGTGGTGATAGCAGACACCAGGCACTGGACCTCATTATTCTGCAGGATCTTGGGATATTTCATGCAGAAAAGCCTCTTAAATTAAATGGTTAAAGTTTGAATCTAGAGCTGAAATCTGGAGCAGCTGCTGCAGGTTCAGAGGAATGTCTTTCTTCTTACTTGTCATGATTTGGTGCAGAGGCAGGGAGGCAGAGGTGAGTTTCTTGAGGATTTAATAAAAGGTAAACAGACAGCTGAGGCAGGAATCCAAATATCCAAAAATCAAATATGAAAAAAGTCAAACAACCAGAAACCATGGAGACATCTGGGGGAAACAACCTCGACGAGGAAGACACAGTGAGACGGAGTTTGAGGAGGAACCAGCACTGAGGAAGTGCACAGAGAGAGTATTTATGAAGACTGAAACAAAGAGAGGTCTAAGGAGCAGATTGGGAGCAGGTGTGAACAGAGCAGACAGGAAAGGAGCTATGGAAAAAGGAGAACACAAGAGGGCAGCAGAGGGCAACAAATAAAAACCTAAAAACAACCTGAAGACACAACAAAATAAGAATTAAAACACTAAAACTAAAAAAACATGGAGCAAAGTAAAACTGAATACTCAAAAACGTAACAAAAACAAGACTGTGACATTATTGTGGACTTTCTCCCATGGTCCTCTGTTGGGCGACGGTGATGCAGGAGTTTGCTTTGCAACCAAAGTGTTATCAGTTCAATCCTGACTTCCTGCTGATTGTGGTGAGAGCTGGCTGCTGGCAGCGCCCCCCAGGGGAGCGGTGGCTGCTATGCAGCTCACCACCATCAGTGTGTGAATGACTGACTGAATGTAATCAGGTTTATAGGTACAGCTGCTGCTCCTCCTTCAGAGCAGAAGTGAACTCCTGACCCCCCCACAGGGCAGCGTCAGTTTGTTACCTACATTTCCCATAATCCCCTTCGAGCCTCCAGACCTGGCATGAATCTGTCGACAGCTACTTCAGGCCTCAGTAAGTCTCTCACTGCATTTCTGGTTGTGTTTTGTTCAGATGGGCCAGACCAACCCCAGCGTCAGTCTTCATTTGGTGTCCTTAGATGGCAGCTCCTTCACCTCCGAACTCAGGCCTCCTGACAGGCTGGACAAGAGGTTTGAGTCTCATTCCCCTCATTCATGTCAAACAGGCCGTGTTCTGTTGGACACGCTTTGGGACCCTGTTGTCCTTCAGCCATTATGTAGCTTAGCTGCTGGTTTGCTGGGGGACGTTGTCCAGCAGGTCAGGACGGTTTTGTCCTCCTAATGTAATCATGTTCATCATGTCCATCATGCTACTGATGGTGGAACTTCTGATGATTCTGTATTTCATGCTGCAGTAACTGATGGTTGCAGAGCTCCAACAGTTACCGTAGCTCTGCCTTAGCCTAGGGGGCTGGGCTTAAATGAAGATTCCTTCCTGAGGTTCACCTGCTGTGGATCTGAGGACGGTTAGCTCTGCTGCTAATGTGAAATAAAGGTTTTATTTCAGCGGCGGCTGGTAGTTTTCTCCAGGGGGCGCTATATCTTCAAAATAGACGTATACCAAAAACCAATCAAATGTAAACTAAAGGATCACGCCAGTATATTTACATGAATGCCAAAAACAAAAAACAGTATTCTAAAATGTTCTTTAAATCAGTCCTAGCTGTCTCTATCCATGCTGGCTCAGATCCTGAAAAAGGAGGCAGGGAGGCAGGATAAAGCTTTAGCAGACATCCCAAGTTCCAAAAACTAATTTCAGTGAGATGCCAGAAATTCTAACAATGATCTGCGCTGCAACAGACATGGTTACTGATGGGTCCTTTGGATCTATTTTCCTCTTTTTCTTTACAAATTCTGTTTTACTAATTATTCAAAAACAATAACATGATAGTTTCAGTGGTGCTGAGATAAGATCCCAGTTTTCATCTGATAAATGTTTTTTTCACAACAAGTAAAAAAAATAATCCTCTAATTTTTACAGATGAATTTAACAGTTATTCTTGAGTTCTAATTCAGATTTTATAGAAAACAATACTTTAACTTAAAGCTTACGTTAAAGTATTAGCTAACTTATAGCTACGTTTACATGCACAAAATTTCCCCGATCCGATCCAAACCTTGGTTGATCGGAAATTCAAAATCTCCGTTTACATGGACACTAAATGAAATGATCCGATCATGACGTGTGTATACATGTACCAAGCGTTGGATCAGATTAAATCTTTTAAGCATGCGCAGAACTTCCTGCCAAACTTGGCAGTTCTGTCTGCGTCTGGTTTTTGAGAGGCCTGACAAACGATGCGCTCGGAGCGAGCGGAAAGAAAAAAGGAGAGAGGAGGAAAAAAGCGCTTGGCAGCGAAATGTACGAGAGAAAATGTAGAGAATGAGCGATTGAACCGGCGTGGGAGAGCGAGTGGGCTGTGGAGAGAGAAAAGAGGAAGAGGAGGAGGATAAATTCCTGCTTCCTGCAGCTTTAAATGAACTTGAGTGTAGAAGTCGGCGTTCCTAGACTCCTCCCGCCATGTTGTTCAAAGCGAGAGCGAGAGCGACCGGTGGTTTCCTGTTGTTGACAAGGCAGAAAAACGTCACGCTGACGTCGCACACATGCGCAGTGAAGATTATTTTACTCTTAAGATCCGAATGGGTGTTTACATGGACGCCAATCGGAATGGCGATCGGCAAAAACCACGTCTCTCATTCGGAATTAAATTTAGATCCGATCGGACCGAATCGGATTAGAATCTTCAGTCTGACATGTTTACATGAAACATTTTTGATCTGATCAGGCCTTCAATCCGATTAGTTGTGTCCATGTAAACGTAGCTATTGAGTCAAAAATATGTAAAATTCCTAAATTATAAATTTATATTGACCTCATAAGAAATAGAATTTCTATTGAACCTAATTGAAAATAAATTTCCCTTCATGCAGCTCTCTTAATATATTTGAATCTCTTGCCCTGTTTTTTATTTCATGCTTTTCTGGGCCCCCATGAAAACACGCTGGCCCCCTCCTGGCCCCCTGGTACATTTGGTCCAGATCCGCCCCTGTTCCTCACCTTCACTAGACGTGGATATACTTTAGTATATTCTGTTGTAAAATTAGTCCTATATTTTGTTTTTTTTACTGGAGGATTGAACATCTGCCGTTTCCCAGGATGCACAGCTTTGAGTGGTAACTAGGTGACTGGCAGAGAGTAACCAGAGAAACTTATGGGACTGATCCAATCAGCTCTCTGATCAACCAGTCGTCTGGAACGCTGGTTGATCAGAGCATCGCTTTGGATAGAAACGCTGCTCAGGTTTCACCAGCAACCTCCTCCTCCCCACATCCTGCTCTCTCTTGTTGTGTCTGCGCAATCGCAGTAATTCTAATCTGCACATGATGCACGAATTATTGCCTGATCGCTCTCACTGGCATTAAAAAAACTCCACCTCCCATAGTCTAAAATCCGGGATAATTTATCTGACTCACCGACATCAGTGAACAACTATCGATATCAGGGAGACTGCCGGAACTTCAGGGAGACTTGGGATGTCTGCCTTAGCCTCGCTGCAGGCAGTTAGCCTAGCTGCATGCAGTTAACCTCGCTGCATGCAGTTAGCCTCGCTGCATGCAGTTAACCTCGCTGCATGTAGTTAGCCTCGCTGCATGCAGTTAGCCTCGCTGCATGCAGTTAGCCTCGCTGCATGCAGTTTGCCTTGCTGCAGGCAGTTAGCCCGCTGCATGCAGTTAGCATCGCTGCATGCAGTTAGCCTCGCTGCAGGCAGTTAGCCTCGCTATATGCAGTTAGCCCCCTGCATGCAGTTTGCCTCGCTGCATGCAGTTAGCCTCACTATATGCAGTTAGCCCCCTGCATGCAGTTAGCCTCGCTGCAGGCAGTTAGCCTCGCTATATGCAGTTAGCCCCCTGCATGCAGTTTGCCTCGCTGCAGGCAGTTAGCCTCGCTATATGCAGTTAGCCCCCTGCATGCAGTTAGCCTCGCTGCAGGCAGTTAGCCTCGCTATATGCAGTTAGCCCCCTGCATGCAGTTAGCCTCGCTGCAGGCAGTTAGCCTCGCTATATGCAGTTAGCCCCCTGCATGCAGTTAGCCTCGCTGCAGGCAGTTAGCCTCGCTATATGCAGTTAGCCCCCTGCATGCAGTTAGCCTCGCTGCAGGCAGTTAGCCTCGCTATATGCAGTTAGCCCCCTGCATGCAGTTTGCCTCGCTGCATGCAGTTAGCCTCACTATATGCAGTTAGCCCCCTGCATGCAGTTAGCCTCGCTGCAGGCAGTTAGCCTCGCTATATGCAGTTAGCCCCCTGCATGCAGTTAGCCTCGCTATATGCAGTTAGCCCCCTGCATGCAGTTAGCCCCCTGCATGCAGTTAGCCCCCTGCATGCAGTTAGCCCCCTGCATGCAGTTAGCCTCGCTATATGCAGTTAGCCCCTGCATGCAGTTAGCCTCGCTGCAGGCAGTTAGCCTCGCTATATGCAGTTAGCCCCCTGCATGCAGTTAGCCTCGCTGCAGGCAGTTAGCCTCGCTATATGCAGTTAGCCCCCTGCATGCAGTTAGCCTCGCTGCAGGCAGTTAGCCTCGCTGCATGCACTTAGCCTAGCCTTGCAGCTCAATAATCCTATAAACCTGTCAATCAGCCACACCTCCTAACAGAGGACTGTGATGTCAGCGCTGTGGAGGGAGGCGGTGAGCAAATCAAGCTGCTTTCAGCTCTGGGTGCAGGAGAGCTGCTCCTCACGATGCTCCTATCTTAGCATTGAGGAGGAGCTGCTGCACATGGACGACTTTAACCAGAGATTTATGGAAATACGTCACCAATCCGACAACAACAAAACTGCTTTATTCGTCATTAAAGATTAAATATTTACCCTGCACATCTCAAATTTATATATTTTAATAAAGGACCTTTTAATCAAGGTCATTGGGTGAGTGGGGTGGCGCCCTCTACTGGCCAGCTGCCACTGTTTCATTTCCCTTCCTCTCATCTTAATTAGCTCCTTATAATGAAGTTAGTAATGATGTAAATATCACCGTTAATCAGCTAATAACTGACCAACCTAACTAAAGAATCACTCACATTTCTGTTATTTAACAATTATTGCTTTTTCTTCCCAACATTTAGGAGTAAAGTGATAAATATAGATATTGGATCTAGATCTGAATGTTTCATCCAAATGTATCTGTTGAATCTATAAATTCACATTTAAAATGAGATATAGATTTATAGAGTTAACATTTACATAAAGGATGTAGAAACAGATGTTTTTAGATATAACATTGAATTATAGATTTATTGTTTAAATTTAGCTTTTTTTCCTGAATGTGAAGAATTTTTCCTAAATCCCATTGAGGGATTTAGGAAAAATTGAATTTTAGATTTATTTTATAGTAACCATAGAAACTGAGGATGTTCTGACAGAAGGAACCAGACATCTGCAGCTTCTCCTCCATCAGGTTAAAACAGACGTTGCCTTCAGATGTTCTGAAGATCCACTCTGGAGAACATTCACTCTGGTTCTGATTCTGTCTCTGCAGCGACTTCTACATCAGCATGGTGAAATGGGTGACCCGGCAGAAGCTGAGCGTCCGCTGGGTCAACCGAGCTCAGAACGTCTCCATTCTCTCCCTGTGTGACGCCACCACAGGCGACTGCATGAAGGTAGGAAACTCACAGCAGAAACGGGCCATGGCAGAAGTTCTGGTCACCTGACTCCATCTTGTTCCATCAGAAACATGTGATGACATCAGAGGCTTGGTTGGACCGCCAGGTGAGGTTCCTCTTCACCTCAGACTCATGAACCTGAGTCCAAACACACCACTCTGGTACCTGAAGAAGCAGGATCTGGGTTCATGTCATGTCTAATGTTTGAAAAGGAGGTTCTGGTCTTAACAAACTGGAACCAGAACCACCCTCATGGTACTGAAAGGCTCTGGTCCATCTGACCTCCAGACTGAGGAGCCACTGTTCTCCAGGGACCTCAGCAGGTTCTTCATCAGCAGCCCTGGAGCCTTCAGCCACATCTCCATGATCTCCGACCAGGTGAGACCAGAACATCCATGCCTCTGACAGCCCGACCCGTCTGCCGGGTGTCAGGGACCCATCCTAACAGGCCGTCTCTTCTCCGTGGTCCTCAGTCTGACGCTGAGCGGGTCCGGGTCCAGCAGCTCACCTCTGGGAACTGGAAGGTCTCCCGGGTTCTGGCCTACGATGAGAACTCCAGATCCATGTAAGTTCTGATCCAATAGTTTGTTAACGAAGCGGTTCTGGTCTCCCAGACTCCATCCTGATCCAGGTCTGCTGCTTGTCTGTGAGGACCTACCAGTAATTATTGGTATCAGAACCGGAGTTTCTTATCAATCATTTTGGATTCAATCTGTTCAACTTCAGGCTGTTTAAATAGTTCTGTTGGACGTTGGACGATGTGGGACGTTGGACGATGTTGGACGTTGGACTCTGGGATCCATTCTGTCCATTTTTCTCAGCTGAACCCCTCTGTTGGTGCCGTGGTGCCGTTTGGGGCGGTGTACGGATGAATGGAACCTTATACGGGACGCCACAGGGCTCCGTTCTCGCTCCCCTTCTTTTTCTGCACCAGAAAACCAACAGATGTTCCTCTCTAGAACAGACATCTGAATATCTATTTATAGTAACTATCTGATATGAATATCCCAATATTATGTCTATTCCCTAGCAGCTTAAAACAGAACCGCAGTGCTTAGACTGCCTCTCTGCTGCAGGTAGGTCACGTCACCTGACTGGTCTATGTCCCATAGCAGCTGATCTATGGTAGTGATCCATATCAGGATCATTTGAGGACCAGTAGTTCCTGGTCCACCAGGTGCCTCCTCTAATAGAACTGGACTCTCTAATAGAGAAGCTTTGCTGTGAGACTTTCAGCTTCCTGGTATCTGCTGATGTCCTGCTGTTTGGGGGAGGAGCCCATTTTTCTTTCCTCAGTAGGACATTTACACTGAAGGTTGTTTCCTGTCAGGGGACCTAATTCCATGCAGATCCGTCCCCGGCGCTGATTTCTCGGTGCTCTTCTGTTTTCCAGATATTTCCTGAGTACAGAGGAGGGGTCGGCTCAGCAGCACCTGTACAGGTACGACATCAGCTTCTCTTCCAACCCTCATGCATAGTGATCCAGTCCAACCCCCCCGCTGGGGGGTGAATCGGCTCTTTGAAGCTAAGCTTAGAGATTCAGAGTCAGGCTAGTTTTATAGATCCACTCAGAAAAACACCAGAGATGGAAACAACAGCCTGAACATAAAGAAATGCAGAAAATATTTTATAAAAACGCCAAACCTTAAGATGAAGGAAAAACATCTGAAAGGCTTTAACCCTCATCTAGACTGCTAGGATTGGGTTTACCCTAATCTAGACCACTAGGATTAGGATAAACCCTCATCTAGGCCGCTAGGATTGGGTTTACCCTAATCTACACTGGTAGGATTGGGTTTAACCCAGATCTAGACCGCTAGGATTGGGTTTAACACAGATCTAGACCGCTAGGATGGGGTTTAGCCCTAATCTAGACCGCTAGGATTGGGTTTAACCCTAATCTAGACTGCTAGGATTGGGTTTAACACAGATCTAAACTGCTAGGATTGGGTTTAACCCTAATCTAGACCGCTAGGATTGTGTTTAACCCTAATATAGACTGTTAGAATTGGGTTTAACCCTAATCTAGACTGCTAGGATTGGGTTTAACCCTAATCTAGACTGTTAAGATTGGGTTTAACCCTCATCTAGACTGTTAGGATTGGGTTTAACCCTAATCTAGACTGCTAGGATTGGATTTAACACAGATCTAGACCGCTAGGATGGGGTTTAGCCCTAATCTAGACCGATAGGATTGGGTTTAACACAGATCTAAACCGGTAGGATTGGGTTTAACACAGATCTAGACTGCTAGGATTGGGTTTAACCCTAATCTAGACCGCTAGGATTGTGTTTAACCCTAATCTAGACTGTTAGAATTGGGTTAAACCCTAATCTAGACTGCTAGGATTGGGCTTAACCCTAATCTAGACTGTTAGGATTGGGTTTAACCCTCATCTAGACTGTTAGGATTGGGCTTAACCCTAATCTAGACTGTTAGGATTGGGTTTAACCCTCATCTAGACTGTTAGGATTGGGTTTAACTCTCATCTAGAGTGCTAGAATTGGGTTTAACCTAATCTAGACCACTAGGATTAGGTTTAACCCTTGCCTAGCATCGGGGTTTAATGGGGGGATTGATCTGATCTCAGCTGTTTGTTCTCCTCCAACAGGCTGTCCGAGGAGCATCCTTTCCATAGAGATTGTCTGAGCTGCTCTCTTTTTAAACCCAACTGCAGCTTCTATGACGCTGAGCTCAGTCCAGACCATCAACATGTTCTCCTCAACTGCAGAGGTACAAACCCAATCATTCCCAACCAGGACGTCTGTGAACGTTCACTATAGCTTTATTTCCTCTGGATGTTTTCATTGATTCTGAATTAAAGAGACGGCGCTGAATTCAGAGTCTGAGGCTCAGCTTCTGTCTGAAGGATGAATGCATGAAAGCCTCAAGGGCTTAGAAACAAGCCCAAACCAAATGATAGGTGATAAAAAATACTCAGATTCTGAATGGAACGCGACACGATGAGGATCAGTTTAGTAAAAACCATAGAAAATCAGCTGAGCTGCAAACATACTTACAATTTATCTGGGTTAGAAAATCATAAAAACTGTTTGATCTTATTGATAGAAACTCTTAACTGTTTTAATTCTGTAAAAGCTCAATGCGTTAAGAATCTAAGTTGAACTTTAAGTAAAAGTTTCATAAAATCTAAAGGAGAAAAACTGCCTGATAATAAATCTAGAAACAGAAGAAAGGAAAGTTTGTCTGAGCAGAGGGCTGCCCGGGGCGGCCTGGAGAGCACGGCAGGGCCGGTGCCCCCCCCATCATCATCAGAAATGATCAATGCATGCAGAGAAAAAACCCAAACAACAGAGGAAAGGACAGAAACATACAGGATGAACTGCTTCTCAGCCTCAAAAGAAATAAATAGATCATTTCACACATTTTAAACTACAGAAATATCATTTTTATGTATTTCTGAGATCTGCCTCTAAGACCTCCTGCCGTCATCTTGTCTCCAGGACCTGGAATACCTCAGACCACCCTCCACAGGCTGCAGGACATGAGCGGTACGTCCTCCTCTTTCCCTGCCTTGCATCATGCGTGGTCGGCGGCGGATCTGCTGCAACACGCTGCAATCAGCAACCGTTTCAGAACCGCAGAAAGATCCAGGATTCTATCTCCAGGATTAGCAGCCGTACAACTGATTGGTTTCTGTCCTGAACTCAGCAGGATGTCTGGCTGTGGAGACGAATGTGGAGCTGAGGAGAGCTCTGACTGACAGAACCGTACCGAGGAGGGAGCGGAGAATCCTGCAAAGAACCGGATCTGGTAAGAACCGGACCGGAGCATCTGCTTGATCAACCAACGGAAGGGAAACTCCTTCACCTCTTTCTGTTTTTATAGCCTTTATTCTCGTCGGTTGATTTGTAAAGTTCTTTATGAATAAAGTTATCAGCTAAACCACTGGAAGCAGCGCTTTTACTAGATCAGAGGCGGGCAATTCCAGTTCCTGGGGGCCGGTATCCTGCAACTTTCAGATCCATCCTTGGTTTAACAAACCTGAGTCAAATGGTTGAGTTGCCTCCTCAGGATGGAGTCGGTTCTTCCAGACTCCTCTCAATCATCTAATTACCTGATTCAGGTGTGTTGAACCGAAGGCACATCTAAGAGTTGCATGATGGCCACCCTCAGGAACTAGAACTACCCACCCCTGGTCTAGATCAAGGGCTTGACTTTGACTAGGCCAATACAGGTGCAATACAGGCTGAACACTTAGTAGGATATTTGGGATCTGATACTAATCATTGTCTCATTTTGAGTTCTAGTCTTATGTTCATGACGGAATGACATAAAGTATTGTATAATATTTGAAATACCTGGAAATAAATCGTGGTTTAGTAATGACTGACAGGGTGGGATTACTTTGTGTTTTAACTGCTATAGCAGAACCAGGAACTTAACGGGATGTTCTTTCTTTTTTCCCGCTTCTTGGTGATCCTTCTGGGTTGTTCTGCAGGACTCGGTGTGGAGCTGATGGTTCCCAGAGACCTGGATGAAACGCTGAAGCATCCGGTTTTACTCCTCCTGTACGTCCTTCCTTTCAAACCCAAAGTCTTTAAAAGTTTAAACAAACTAAAGCTCAAAGCGGTTTCAAAGTGGTTTCAAAGCGATTTCAGTGTTAATCTTAGAAACGGATTCATTTACCCTCCTATTAGAAACATTTCTCTGTGTCTTTGATCAGATTCTCTTTGTTTAAAATGTTTCCTGTTGAACATGTTTGTCTGTAGAGACAGCGCCCCTGGTGGCCAAGATGTGAACGACCGTTTCGCTCTGGACTGGGACTCGGTGCTCGTCACTTTGGACCGAGTCGTCGTGGCCCGAGTGGACAGGAGGGGCCGGGCGGTCCATCAGAACCTGGGGACGGCTGATGTTCAGGACCAGATGGCAGCGCTGGAGTAGGTTCCCATGGTCCATTCTGAAGGAGGCCCCCAGGGGCCCCCAGGGCCCAAATATGTACAAAACCTGTGACTTGATGAGGCGGTTCTTCCTGCAGGGAAGGTTGAAGGTTGGACAAACTTCTGGACTTTGATGGAGATGATAGAACAAGTTTGGTTGTTTTCTTCATTTTCATGCAGCAGGATAGAAGATCTATGAACCCTTTACTGGCTGGTTTTATTAACCTTGATCTCTGAGCATCAACAGTCACTAAAGATGGATGGATGACACAGCAGCTGCAAACTTCTTTAAGGAAAGACGGGAGAAAAAACACAACAAACAGGAAGCAGGCGGCATTTTAGTTACATGTGGAAAATAAAGATTTACTGTATGTCAGTGTGTTCTCTGCTCCCAGGGTTCTCCGGCTTAGCGTGTTCTCTGCGTGTTCTCAGCCTGTTCTCAGCCTGTTCTCTGCGTGTTCTCAGCGTGTTCTCAGCCTGTTCTCAGCCTGTTCTCAGCCTGTTCTCTGCGTGTTCTCAGCCTGTTCTCAGCCTGTTCTCAGCCTGTTCTCTGCGTGTTCTCAGCCTGTTCTCTGCGTGTTCTCAGCCTGTTCTCTGCGTGTTCTCAGCCTGTTCTCTGCGTGTTCTCAGCGTGTTCTCAGCGTGTTCTCAGCCTGTTCTCAGCCTGTTCTCTGCGTGTTCTCAGCGTGTTCTCAGCCTGTTCTCTGCATGTTCTCAGCGTGTTCTCAGCCTGTTCTCAGCCTGTTCTTAGCCTGTTCTCTGCGTGTTCTCAGCCTGTTCTCTGCGTGTTCTCAGCTTGTTCTCAGCCTGTTCTTAGCCTGTTCTCTGCGTGTTCTCAGCCTGCTCTCTGCATGTTCTCAGCCTGTTCTCTGCCTGTTCTCAGCCTGTTCTCTGCCTGTTCTCAGCGTGTTCTCAGCGTGTTCTCAGCCTGTTCTCTGCATGTTCTCAGCCTGTTCTCTGCCTGTTCTCAGCCTGTTCTCTGGGTGTTCTCTGCGTGTTCTCAGCCTGTTCTCTGCATGTTCTCAGCCTGTTCTTAGCCTGTTCTCAGCGTGTTCTCTGCGTGTTCTCAGCCTGTTCTCTGCCTGTTCTCTGCGTGTTCTCAGCGTGTTCTCAGCCTGTTCTCAGCCTGTTCTCTGCGTGTTCTCAGCGTGTTCTCAGCCTGTTCTCAGCCTGTTCTCAGCCTGTTCTCAGCCTGTTCTCAGCCTGTTCTCTGCGTGTTCTCAGCCTGTTCTCTGCGTGTTCTCAGCCTGTTCTCTGCGTGTTCTCAGCCTGTTCTCTGCGTGTTCTCAGCGTGTTCTCAGCGTGTTCTCAGCCTGTTCTCTGCGTGTTCTCAGCGTGTTCTCAGCCTGTTCTCTGCATGTTCTCAGCGTGTTCTCAGCCTGTTCTCAGCCTGTTCTTAGCCTGTTCTCTGCGTGTTCTCAGCCTGTTCTCTGCGTGTTCTCAGCTTGTTCTCAGCCTGTTCTCTGCCTGTTCTCAGCCTGTTCTCTGGGTGTTCTCTGCGTGTTCTCAGCCTGTTCTCTGCATGTTCTCAGCCTGTTCTTAGCCTGTTCTCAGCGTGTTCTCTGCGTGTTCTCAGCCTGTTCTCTGCTCCCAGGATGCTGCAGCTTCCCAGCAGTGATGTCAGGCTCGTTCTTAGGTTCTTCCTTTCTGTCCACTAATAATTTCTCATCTATCATTTCGTTCTCAGGCAGCTGGTGACACTTCCCTTCGTTGACGGCAGCAGAGTTGGAGTTTATGGGAAGGTGAGGAACATCCTGAGGTAATCAGAACCTTTTATGGTTCTTTGTTCTAAGCTGATGTTTTTTTATCTAGGCGTATGGGGGGTTCCTGTCCTCCCTCCTGCTCCTGTCTCACAGCTCACAGATCAAATGTGGCGTCGCCGTGGCTCCAATCACTAACTGGAGGCTCTACGGTGAGGAGCAGCCTCTGCAGCTGCTAACACAACCAAACACCTCAAGTAGGAAGAGGAAGTGAGGAAAATGAAAGAATCAGAGGAGGAAACAAGTTTTTCTTCCTCCCAGTTCCAAACTGGGAGGGCGAGCAGCACCAGAACCTGAAGGCTAACAGGTCGCAGCAAGTCGGACCCGTCCCCTGCTTTCATATCATCATTTCTTTCACACGTTCTCGCTCTGATTGATGATATCACAAGCTGCAGATTACCTGATCGGCTCTGATTGGAACCAGGTTTAAGGTTCTGCAGACTGCAGGCTGTTGCTCATATTAGAAACAAACAGGAAGTGGTTCTGACCTGGACTTTCAAATTAAAGCTCCCAGATCTTCTGGCTCACTGAGAGGTTTGTGGTTCAGGGAACCAGAAGCTGCAGAAATGACAGATTTCATGTTTTTAGTTCCTGTTGTTGAAGTTGATGGTTTGAGAGGAAAAACTGAACGGAATGATTTTATGAGGTTCTGTTGGACTCCCACAGGATCCGCCGGATCTGAGAGGTACTTTGGCTTCCCTGTCAAACAACATCTCAGCTACCAGGTAGGACTTTGTTCAGTTTGTGGAGGTTCTGCTGGAACATCTTCTACCAAAGTGGGTTCTGGGTTTCCTTCTGCTTCCTTTCTAATGCATCCTGAGTCGGGTAGTGAGAACCGCTCTGCAGGTCCAGGTCCAGGCAGACCTGGGTTCTGTCTGGATCTGCTGGAGCTAGCGGACCCGTTCTGGGTGCGCTCGGTGATGACCTCATCCGTCCGCAACAAATGAAGGCGAAGGAACCATCAAACACACTGAAAAAAACTTAAATCTAAATAAGTAATTTTTACTTAAAATACGGAGGTAAACGAGACACGTTGCTAATGAAGCAAGACAATTTACATCTAGAGTCATAGAAAAATATTTAAGTGTCAAATCATTCTGGTTTAAACATGTATATAAATGTTCTCTTTATCAGACCATATTGTCCCAAAAGTTAGAAATTTCTATGTAAAAAAAATCCTGTCTTAAAATGTTTTTTTTTTCCGTTATCTCCTGCAGGCCAGTTAGTTCTACGTCAGCCTGAACACCTAAATTCGGCCAATCATATATCAACGGTCATCTGTCAATCAAATGTCTTCAGTCATAGCATCTTGATTCATGTGTCGCAGTAATATACGCAACGGTTGAAACCAGAATCCTTTCCTTTCCCATTGAGTTGCGTCCCAGTGTTCACGGGGATGGACGTCTGTGTCTTCGGCAGGCGTAGAGCTAACAGAACTGGCAGCGTTGCGAGGCAAGGGCTCAAACATGGACGGCTGGAAGCCTTCTACACCAAACCAAGCTTCTGCCGCCCTGGCGTCTTCTTCCACAACATCTTCGTCCCCGCTTTCCTCCTCTAAATAAAAAATGGAGAACGGAGGAGACTCATCCACGGCCTCCGACACTAAACTCTCCTCCTCTTGCATGTTTCTGCTGTCCATAGCGTTCCTTGACAGCGTCGTTTCTAAGTCACCAATTTAGTGCTACTTGTTTACATTTAAAGGAAAAGTCCGATCAGCAGGAATAATCATTGGATCATTATTTATACCTGAAACTAAGACGTTCGCAGTAATAAAATTACTTTAGTGTTAATCAGTAAATGAAAAAAATTATTTTCATCGCGATCATTGAGTCTGGGAGCGGCCATTTTTGCCCAAATAAAGTAGCCCCTCCCTCCTGCCATCTTCCAGCAGTGACGTCACGGTGCGGTAAGCCTAGCGCCATTCTCCCCGCTTTCCAAGCTAAATCAATGGGAACTACTAGACACATCTGCAATCAACAACAATTATTGAAGATTTCCAGAGGACTTCACCATTGAAATTCACCAGAGCTATAGTGAAACTGACAATGCCCACGTGCATGGCAGCTGGATGCTGGAATACATCGGGTAAAAGTGAAAAAAAGAGTTATTCCACCTTTCTGATTCCTGATCCTCCACGGACGGGTTGGTCGTTGGATCGCCAACTTGAAGAGGGAGGATTTGCCATCGAACTTCTGGCCAGAGAAAAAACCCGTAATATGTAGCCAACATTTGGAAGAAGAATGTTTTCAAGATGACTTGGATAATAGCGCGTTGTGACAAACACCAGATACAGCACTGGGACTTGATCAACAGCCGATACCGCACCGTGACAATGTCACTAACCAGTAGGTGGCAGTAGTGTTCTTTGACAAACATGGATGCCTCCAGTAAAGCACATTCACATGAAAATTACTCTGAATTAAAAACACTGATCATTTATTGAACAGGATGGAATCATTTCAGATTTAAAGAACTTTCAGAAGTTTGGATTCTGAATATGAGCCAAACTTTTCCTTTAAACGACATACAGAGAAAGTCGCTATTATTGGATGCGATTTATACAAAGTTTCTGACGTATTTTATAAACCAGCCGTCCTCAAACACCAGAGAAAGTCTGAAAGCTTTTAAAGCTCCGTGTTTCACAGCAGGTTTGGTTATAGACCTGGAAATATGGCGTCCTGAAAACGAGATATTGGTGTAAAGTTAAAGGAAGTCTGCTGATGGTTGACATGATGTCTGCAGATCTTATCATCAAATAAAGCGTCTGATCAGTTTAATCTTTCAATTATCTGGAAAAACGCGTTAAACCCAGCATATAGCAGCCTAAGCTAGCTCTGCTGATGTGTTCGTCTGATCACTGACAGCATCTCTGATGATGTTCCTCACCGTTTCAATAAGACGCCATCTTTACGCGCGGCGGACCACATCGCTGTGATGAGGATGTAGTCTGGTTCATTAGAGGGAAGCAGAAGCTGGGAGCTCCACCAGAAGGAAACTGGGCGGTTCTCTGTCTGCGGCAGATCTCCGGTCTCCTGAGGGACGTCACCGCGGCGAGTCCACAAGGCTTCTTGATTGTCCACGGCACGGCGGACGGTGAGACTAATGGTTGCACAGTTCTTGGTCCTGGTCTCCTGTTGTTCTGCAGAATCCAGGTTTTCTGTCCGGTTGATGTTTTCCTTCCATCGAGTTTCCCTCTGGGGTTCCTGCTGTTTTCCAGATCTTTGTTCCTCAAACTGGTTTAAAAACTGTTTAAATGATCTTTTACTTTATCAGTTTATCAGATAATTAAAAACATTTTAGCATTTCAGCCTCATTTAAACTAGTTTAATTTATCTTTTTATTTTATTTTAGTTTTTATTCAGCGTTTCCTTTTTGTTCCTTTTTGTTTACTTTTCCTCTATATGTGGGTTAATGTGTTTATTCTGCTGTTTAATCAAGTTATTTCTTTTGATTTTTTATTCTGATTAACTTAAGAATTTTATTCTAAATCGTTTATTTTACAGTCGGAGCAAAAAATAAGGAAATATGAACGGATGAATCAGCTGTTTCCATTTTTAGTCTTTGTTTTTTCTGGGTAAACCTGAATGAATGAATGAATAAATTAATAAATGAATAAACGGATTAATAAATGAACAAATGAATAAATTAATGAGTAAATGAAAGAATAAATGAATGAATAAATAAATGAATGATTAATGAATGAATGAATGAATGAATAAACTAATAAATGAATGAATGAACTAATGAATGAATGAATGAATTAATTAATAAACTAATGAATGAACAAATGAATGAATTAATTAATTAACTAATGAATAAATGAATTAATTAATTAATTAACCAATGAATAAATGAATGACTGAATGAATAAATTAATTAATTAATTAATTAATTAACCAATGAATAAATGAATGACTGAATGAATAAATGAATTAATTAATTAATTAATTAATTAACCAATGAATAAATGAATGACTTAATGAATAAATGAATGAATGAATAAACTAATGAATGAATGAATGAATGATCCTCTGCAGGCTAATCTCTCTCTGCATCTCTTCTCTTCCAGCTGCCGTTCACTTCCAGCATTCAGCAGAGCTGCTCCAGCTGCTGTCGGCGCTGAACGTTAGCTACACCCTGCAGGTGAATCTGAGGCTCTGCTTCTGCAGATGTTCATCATTTCAGCGTCTGACTCTGATGAAGCGACTCTGAGCTTGATTGAAGCTTTGAATAAACGTGGTATTTTGGTCCTTCTGCCCAGATCTTCCCTGATGAAGGTCACCGCATCATCAGCGTAGAGAGCGAGCGCTACATGCTAACATCCATGCTCAACTTCTTCAGGCGCTGCTTCCAAGAGGAGGCGGCCGTCGTCATGGAGACGTCCAAAGAGGAGGACTGATGGCGATGCACCCCCTCCCCCTGAAAGCAGCAGAACCAGAAGCTGCTTTAACTTTCTTTCATGTTTGGTTTCAGCTTTATGTAAAAAAACAACGTGAACCAATCAGATCTCCTCTGATCAGTAAACAGGAAGCTGCTTCACATTATCCCAATAATCTGGTCTTCACAAACTGGAGGGGTTGAAGTGGATGTCTCAGACCTTAAACTGGTTCTGCTGGTCGGCGTCTTTATGGACCAGTAATGATTTTTATTCACTAATCTGAACCAGTTCAAACAGTTAAGGGTTCTGATCTCTGCCTCCTTTCTGGATCTGTTTCTCACTCACACATGTAGATAACATCTGATCCAAGATGATAATCCCATTTTTAATCCGCTCATCACTGGAATCTGTGCTTTAACCAAGTGTTTAAAATCCCATAATGTGAAAAAAGGTGAGATGAAGGCTGGAAGCTGAGAAATAAGATTTATTCTGTTAAGCACAGACGATGTCGTCTTTATTTTCAGTCATTATCTGTGCTGCGTTCAATGTCTGCATGGAAACAAGGTCATCATGGCCTCTTCATCACGAGCACCAGAAGGTTGAAGGGAAAAGGCTATGAATTTATGACGTATAGGGGAATGCTGTGTGATTTGTTTTTAACCCTTTAAATGCCTGCCTCCTTCCCCTTTGTTTGCTAACAGTATCATTGGCTATCAGTGGCGACCAACGGGCTTATTAATGGCTGACATTGGGTGTGGCTGTTTAACGACAAAGATGGCAAAGAAATAAAGTGTTAAACAGAACCAATGAGCATACAATGGGTCATCATTGTGTTTCATGCAGCTGTTGGTTCTGATGCAGAGTCACCCTCACTGCTCTGCAGCCGCGTCTGAGGAAACTGGTTTGGAACAGAACACATCAGCATAATCCAAAGGTTCTTTATTTTCTATTTATTTAGAATCATCACTAGAAGACAATCACAATAATCCCAGAACCGAACCGAACCCTTCCCTCCCTGTGGGACAGCAACAAGATCAAGCATTACAAAAATCAGCCTAAGAAGAAACTGAAAGAACAAAATGAGAAAAAGATGCATAAATCATGATAAATCTGCCGTCCTCATAGATGAAACCTTCTATGAGACGACAAGTCTTAAAAATAGAGTCCTGTACACGCTCTGCTGCACTGCTCTACAAAATGTGGCATTTCCTGACAGTTTCCCTGTTGAAGGCATGCAAACCAGTGAAACAGCTGCTGAGGAAATGTTCGTCCTAAAGATCCTGTTCTAGTTTTCTCTGTGAGGCAGGAAGCTGCAGAACTGGATCTGCAGAAAACAAACCGAGAATCTTTGCAGTCTGGACCAGAACTGTAAGGGTTAAACTGCCGAGATCCAACAGATCCAGGTTCTGAGGAGCCTTGCCCGACTCGGGTTTCCTCATGTCTGGAGAGTCGCTCTAGGTTTGGACTGGGACCCGGGTCAGTGCTAACATCTGGACCTGTAAGACCTGACCCGGGTCAGGTCTTACAGGTCCAGATGTTAGCCCTGACCTGGGTCAGGTCTTACAGGTCCAGATGTTAGCACTGAACCGGGTCAGGTCTTACAGGTCCAGATGTTGGCGCTGACCCGGGTCAGGTCTTACAGGTCCAGATGTTAGCCCTGACCTGGGTCAGGTCTTACAGGTCCAGATGTTAGCCCTGACCTGGGTCAGGTCTTACAGGTCCAGATGTTAGCACTGAACCGGGTCAGGTCTTACAGGTCCAGATGTTGGCGCTGACCCGGGTCAGGGCTAACATCTGGACCTGTAAGACCTGACCCGGGTCAGGTCTTACAGGTCCAGATGTTAGCCCTGACCTGGGTCAGGTCTTACAGGTCCAGATGTTAGCACTGAACCGGGTCAGGTCTTACAGGTCCAGATGTTGGCGCTGACCCGGGTCAGGTCTTACAGGTCCAGATGTTAGCCCTGACCTGGGTCAGGTCTTACAGGTCCAGATGTTAGCCCTGACCTGGGTCAGGTCTTACAGGTCCAGATGTTAGCACTGAACCGGGTCAGGTCTTACAGGTCCAGATGTTGGCCCTGACCTGGGTCAGGTCTTACAGGTCCAGATGTTAGCGCTGAACCGGGTCAGGTCTTACAGGTCCAGATGTTAGCACTGAACCGGGTCAGGTCTTACAGGTCCAGATGTTAGCACTGAACCGGGTCAGGTCTTACAGGTCCAGATGTTGGCCCTGACCTGGGTCAGGTCTTACAGGTCCAGATGTTAGCGCTGAACCGGGTCAGGTCTTACAGGTCCAGATGTTAGCACTGAACCGGGTCAGGTCTTACAGGTCCAGATGTTGGCCCTGACCTGGGTCAGGTCTTACAGGTCCAGATGTTGGCCCTGACCTGGGTCAGGTCTTACAGGTCCAGATGTTGGCGCTGACCCAGGTCAGGTCTTACAGGTCCAGATGTTAGCACTGAACCGGGTCAGGTCTTACAGGTCCAGATGTTGGCCCTGACCTGGGTCAGGTCTTACAGGTCCAGATGTTGGCGCTGACCCGGGTCAGGTCTTACAGGTCCAGATGTTAGCGCTGAACCGGGTCAGGTCTTACAGGTCCAGATGTTAGCACTGAACCGGGTCAGGTCTTACAGGTCCAGATGTTAGCACTGAACCGGGTCAGGTCTTACAGGTCCAGATGTTAGCCCTGACCTGGGTCAGGTCTTACAGGTCCAGATGTTGGCGCTGACCCGGGTCAGGTCTTACAGGTCCAGATGTTAGCCCTGACCCGGGTCAGGTCTTACAGGTCCAGATGTTGGCGCTGACCCAGGTCAGGTCTTACAGGTCCAGATGTTAGCACTGAACCGGGTCAGGTCTTACAGGTCCAGATGTTGGCCCTGACCTGGGTCAGGTCTTACAGGTCCAGATGTTGGCGCTGACCCGGGTCAGGTCTTACAGGTCCAGATGTTAGCGCTGAACCGGGTCAGGTCTTACAGGTCCAGATGTTAGCACTGAACCGGGTCAGGTCTTACAGGTCCAGATGTTAGCACTGAACCGGGTCAGGTCTTACAGGTCCAGATGTTAGCCCTGACCTGGGTCAGGTCTTACAGGTCCAGATGTTGGCGCTGACCCGGGTCAGGTCTTACAGGTCCAGATGTTAGCCCTGACCCGGGTCAGGTCTTACAGGTCCAGATGTTGGCGCTGACCCAGGTCAGGTCTTACAGGTCAGCGCTAACATCTGGACCTGTAAGACCTGACCCGGGTCAGCGCTAACATCTGGACCTGCTGAGTTCTGCTCTTAGCTTTTCGCAGCTGTAACAACCAATCAGCAGACAGCAGCGTCTGCAGCAGAGGAACGGACCAATCAGGGCTGCTGGAATAATCCAGTAATCCTTCATTAGGGGAATATTTAATAGTATAATTCAAATGTTAATAATAGGATTATCAGGATTAGTTTTGATCAAAATGCAGTTTTTAAAATTACTTTAGTCGCTTGTAAAAACTATTTTGACTCACTTAATCTACAAACCTTTGAAGGTCCTTCATTCCCTGTTATTTTCACTAAATTTTACCTTTAGAATTTAAAATGTTAATTTGACTCCATTTTTTTCTAAATACAGTTTTTAAAGTTAAAACATTAAAGATCAAAATGGAAACCCTAAGATTTTTTGCAGTCAGCTTTTTAATGGGGAAATAATGACATCATCAACATTAAAAAGTGACCAAATTATTCATTTCCTAATATCGTCTCCATTAAACCAGATAAACATCAAAGACAAATAAAAAAATTCCATTTATGTAGCAAATAAAACCATTAATTAACTCGTTAGATATGATCTGATTAAATGATAACACTGATCCATCAGTCCTAAAGCCTAAGTCTGTAATGATGATGATGATGACGATGATGATCAGCAGCAGGAACACAGACTATCAGGCAAAGAAAAGTTCAGCCATATCTGCATAAACCTTGCAGGTCATTAAATTATTCTAAATATTAATTTTTGTGTCATAGGAAAAATTATGTTTAAACCTACTTCCTTTATTTGTGCTTCGTGTCGGCCATTAGGCCCCAGAGCTGCAGTGAATGAAGAGCAGCACCCCCCCCCCCCCCCCCCCCTTAAAGTGCCTTTATAGAAGTGGTATAATAGTCGTTTATCCTTTGATTAATGCGTCTCTGAGTGATAATTAATGACATCAGAAGGCCCCCTCCATGAAGCATCTACGCTAACCACGCTGCGCCCGCACTGTCAATGGATCAGGGAGCGGCGGTGATGTCAGGCAGATCAGGAAAGTTCAGACCAACCAGATATTTTAGCTGATAATCTGCACAGAGCAGCTATGTTTCTTTTCTAGCTAGCTTCTAGGTAGAAAAATCTGTTTTTTGGAGGTTCGAGGTCGGGACTGATATGGTAGTCCTATAAAATGGGTGTTACCCAGAGGGGGGAGGCGGCTTCGCTGTGATCAGAGCATGTGAGCGGAGCGGAGCTCACCTCAATTAAAAATGTTGGATTATAAAATTTGTAAACTTTTATGATCCAATTTAAATGCGATTTTTTTCGACAATTAATAAGAAATATTAGAATTGTCGCAACTTTGAGCGGCGGAGTAAATGAGCGAACTTCCTCCTGAGCGGGAATCCCGCTCCGCTCCCATGCTCTGGCTGTGATGGGAAATGATTGGCAGAAAACCTATATTTTCAAAAAAATTGTAATAAATAATTAATTTGAGGCCTATAAACCAGATGTAGAGCTTTAGATTGTCTATGACTGAGATACTGAGATGCAGCAAAGTTGCTCTTCCCAGCAGCTTTGTTCTGCTGCTCAGACCGGCTTAAGCCTGGCTGCAGTCTGAGCAAAGGAGCTGCTCTGTGATTGGCTGTTAATCAGCTGATGCTGACCAGGTTCTGCTCATAGAAGCTTCCTGCTGTTAGAACAGAGCTGCTGCTTCCTACAAGTAAGTAAGAGTGATTTCTGTAAAGTTGCTGACTTGTTGCCTAACAGCTGCCTTAGCAACGTTTTACCATCTCAGGTGACTGTTTGACAAATGTTTTTGGGTCGGAATAAAGTCAGTTTCTCTTGAAAATGTCCTGGAAGTAAACAAAACCTTTAGCCCTCCTAGCTGCCAGGAGCTAACGCTTCCTTTGACTGGTCCAGTTCCAAAGGTTCAGATTCAGTTCTGCTCAACCTGAACAAGATAAACCAGCACCAGCCGATGGTTTCTGACCATAACCAGTAACCACCCGCAGAACCCATCCCACTCATTTAGGGGTACAGGACACATGGCAGGTTTGCAGATGGACGATAAAGACCCGGTACAGAGATAGATGAGTCCAATGAGACCGAAAGCCCAGTTCAAAGGTCAGTCAGGAGCCAAGGGCAGAAAGAGAGCATCTAATGAACGGGTTCTGTCTGTTACAACTGGACAATACCGCCACAGCTCTGGACAATACCGCCACAGCTCTGGACAATACCGCCACAGCTCTGGACGGCCTCGCCACAACTTTGGTGATATCCAGCACCACTTTTCTGGACGATATCGCCACAGCACTGGACAGTCCCGCCAAAGCTCTGGATAGTACCCCCACAGCTTTGGGTGATACCGCCAATACTCTGGATGGTACGCCACTGCTCTGAACAGTACCGCCACTGCTCAGGAAAATATCGCCACGTCTGCAGATGGTACCACCACTGCTCTGGACGGCATCGCCAATGCTCAGGAAAATATCGCCCTTGGTGTAGAAAGTAATGCCACTGCTCTGGACGGTATCGCCCTAGCTGTAGAGAGTACCGCCACTGCTCTTGACGGTATCGCCCTGGCTGTAGAGAGTACCGCCACTGCTCTTGACGGTATCGCCCTGGCTGTAGAGAGTACTGCCACTGCTCTGGACGGTATCGCCCTGGCTGTAGAGAGTACCGCCACTGCTCTTGACGGTATCGCCCTGGCTGTAGAGAGTACCGCCACTGCTCTTGACGGTATCGCCCTGGCTGTAGAGAGTACCGCCACTGCTCTTGACGGTATCGCCCTGGCTGTAGAGAGTACCGCCACTGCTCTTGACGGTATCGCCCTGGCTGTAGAGAGTACCGCCACTGCTCTTGACGGTATCGCCCTGGCTGTAGAGAGTACTGCCACTGCTCTGGACGGTATCGCCCTGGCTGTAGAGAGTACCGCCACTGCTCTTGACGGTATCGCCCTGGCTGTAGAGAGTACTGCCACTGCTCTGGACGGTATCGCCCTGGCTGTAGAGAGTACTGCCACTGCTCTGGACGGTATCGCCCTGGCTGTAGAGAGTACCGCCACTGCTCTTGACGGTATCGCCCTGGCTGTAGAGAGTACCGCCACTGCTCTGGACGGCATCGCCAATGCTCAGGAAAATATCGTCACGGCTGCAGATGGTACCACCACTGCTCTGGACGGCATCGCCACAGTTGTGGACGGTACTGCCACTACCGCTCAGCGGTGGCACTGGGGGAGGTTCTGTTTTTTTTCAGTCACCAGTGTTGAAACGTTTTTCTTAATGTTTGATTTGCGGTGAAGTTGAAGGATCCAAGTTTGTTCCCAATGACGCGGTTTGAGGGAATGCTAGGAGGCAGATGGTGCGAGGAGAGCCTTTAAAGTGGACCATCCAACTGGACCTTTGGTTCTGGAACCAGACTGTAGGACCATGTGGTTCTGAGGTGAAAAGCTCAGGAAACAAGTTCTAAAATAATGAAACCCAAACTTTGCGTCATGAAGAATCGTCCAGAAATCATTTATTTACGTCACATCAGCAAACATTCTGGGTCCAACAGAACGGAGGCGTTTGGTTCTGGGTCCAGTAGTCCAAACCAGTAGAATCTCCTGACGTCTGGGCAGGAGTTCCACTTCCTGTTTAAATCGAGTTCTTTCCTGATTTCTCACCACAAACTTTCATGCTTCACAGAACCCAGATGAAAGCAGGGGAACTGTCCCTTTACTGGATCTAAGCGGGTCAGAACCGTTCTACTGGAGCCTCCAGGAGGATGAGATGTTCCTGTTCCTGTTGGGTGGTGCTGTCAGCTGGAGGAAGCTCTGACCTCCAGCCAGTGACCTGATGTGATGGTGAGATGTTGGTCCTGAGCTTCAGGAGAGCAACGTGGAGAAGGTGTGGATGCTGCAGTCTAAAGAACCTGGAACAAACTGAGGAAGTTCTCTGTGTGCTTTGCTTAGAACGTGAGCGTCCCAGATCTAGGATAGGTAGATGCTGGACAGCAGTGGACTCCTGCTGCCTGAGCAGTGTCTCTGAAGTGTCCTTCAACATATTTTTACAACGAGGTGCTCCTTCCCCTGGAGGAGCCGCAGCAGCTCCGTCACTGCGTCCGAATCCAACTAAAGACGTGGTCCACACTGTACTGGCTTCAGATCTGCAGGCCTACTCCTCCTCCTCCTCCTCTTCCTCAGGCAGCGGTAGAAGCTCCTCCTTCAGACATTCCCTGTAGAAGCTGCTCAGTGTGGCGTAGAGGTGCTGGCGGCTTTGCCGGGACAGGAAGTGACCTTCATCAGGGTAGATCTAAAGGGGCAGAGGAACATGATCAGTTAGAGTCCGTAAAGGTTCTGTATCAGCCGATACCTGCATGTGGTCTCTGATCCTTCAGGGCCGTCATCGTTAGTGTTCGTTTTGATTTGTTAATAAAGTTATTATTTTTTTTTGTTATCACTGTCTGCGTCTGAGCGCCCGCCATAACCCCCCCATAGAGATCTATGGGGGTGACGCCATTTTCTATGAGTGTCATGAAGAAGTAGTGACTCGAAAAAATTCCCACAATGCACCTTGACAAGTGAGCAGATATATCCCAGAATGCTTTGCGAGGAGAGCTAGCATTGTGGGATTAATTATGGGGGCAAGAAAGAACAAAGATGGTGGAGGCAGCGTGGGAGGAGGCGGAGTTACTTGCTCAACGGGGAGTGAACATCTGTCCAAACGTTTAGTTTCATTTTCCGTTGCTTTTTAGCTCATTACTGAGGATGGAAGAAGTTAGCATAGTTAGCCTAGCGTAGCCTGCTACGTCCTCACACCCACGCTGTGCTGCTGAGGCCTGAACCATGAAGCAGGATCACTGGGTTCGCCAGATAACTTCAGGTTTAACCCTGATGTTCCTGGATCCTCCTTAACGAGGCTGGTCACCATGGTAACGTACGCTGAAAGCTAACCTGCTCTGGGGCAGGCTAGCTTTCAGGGTTGACCCAGCAGCCAATCAGCTGTCAGGAGACGATGACGAGTCCTTTGATTGAAGATCCGATTTAATTTGGAGGGAAAACCAATTTAAACAAAACATCAGAACAAAGGAAGAGGAAACCCAGAACGCAGTTCAGTCAAAATATGTTCTCGACAAATTTAAACTTAACTTTTTATTTGTTTGTTTTTTCTTTTCCTTCTTTTCTCCAATTACAACCTTTTACTATTTTATATTTTCTTCTGCATGATGCCATCAGGAATCGCCTGGTTTCTCATATTATTGTTATAAGAAGCTAAATAAAAATAAAAATCTGTTCTGTCAGACCAGCACACCCGTCAGACCAGCATACCCGTCAGACCAGCATACCCGTCAGACCAGCATACCCTCAGTTAATACCCGTTTATCCCTATAGTTTATATATTTCTTTTTTTCCCTTTAGTTTTTTATTAAAAAATAAACTTTTAAACTAAATCAACGGGTGTGTATCCATTCAGTCATGTACAAAAGAACTATTTACTTACTTCCTTTTTGGTGTTTTTTAAGCGTATGGCAATCTGACCTTAAATTGCATGTTTAGTTCGTGACTAAGGCTGCGTTCCTGCTGCAGGCCTTAATGCTCACATCTGATTATTTTTGCATATTTCCAAATATATTCAACAGTATGTGATCTCCTGTGTGAGCTGCGTTCCTACAGATTAAGTGTCCTGCATGCGGAGTAGAGGACGCGATGACGTCACAGCCCAGCGTGCTCTGTGTTTACGGAAGTAACCATGGATGGTAGCGCTGGAGCGCATCTAGCGATCTTTCCCAATCTTAAAAACTCAATCTTGGTTAAACATAAATTCTGCTCTCTGCTTCATCGTCCGCCATGGTTGTTTTTCTTGCCCCTTCGGCGTAGCGAGACGCAGAGTAGTGACCTTTGTCGGGTATTAATGGCGTTCAGGTCGCATTCATACGACCTGGACGCCATTAATATTAACAGATCGGATTTGTATCGGATATAGTCAAGTGGCCTCGGTCGCATTGGAAAAAATCAGATCTGAGTTGTTTAGGCTGTCATGAAAAGATCAGATCCAGGTTCCCTATGGGCCGAAAAATCGGATTTGGGTCACTTCAGGCTGCGACGTGAAAATAGCCTAAAGGGATACATGCCCGTCGAGGTAGTTAAAAGTCTATTTTTTGTACAAAACTAAAGAGATAAACGCAAATCTGACGTCTTGCGCATGCGTACTGACTATAGGTGTGCTGGTCTGACAGAACAACCGACTGTAGAGATACTAGATCCTTTGTGAACCACAGGTTCCTCTCTGCACACTGAGCCTGGTTCTGCTGGAGGTTTCTTCCTGTTCAAAGGGAGTTTTTCCTCTCCACTGTCGCTACAAGCATGCTTAGTGTGAGGGATTGCTGAAGAGTCAATGAGTCGATGCAATCAGCTGGTTTTCCTTAGATAGAAAACTTTGAATCAATCTGACTGGATGATCTAGTTGAACTGGATCTATAAAGTGACCTGAAATGACATGATGTGAATTGGCTCTATAGAAATAAACTGAATAGAATTGACGCAGTCAGCAATCCTTTGCCGCCATGTTTGGCATCTCTTTCCCGCCGCCATGTTTGACTTTTCCTTCAGACTTTTTTCCTCTTCGTATTTTTTTCAGATGACTTTTTGCTCCTCAGCAGGAATGCGGCGCTCTGCCTTCTGCTGTCACGGTTCTGATTGGTCCGCTAGCTTGGCCCCGCCTTTCATGATCAGTTTAAGCTGGATTGAGTTAGAGAGTTGATAATCACCGGTTCCACTGATCCTGGTTACCATTGATGTGAACTGGTTAAACTGGATAGACTGTGAGGAATCCCAGTATGTTTGGTTTGCTTCGTGGTTCGAGCCTCTAGATCAGTTTTCTTTATAAATGAGGCCCCTGATGGCCAGGGGTCAGAGTTCATGTCCGCCCTAAAGGGTGGCGTCTACCCGGACCTAGCTTCCTGATGGTGAACTAGACTCATGGGCGCCACCAACTGGTCCAGCCCTGCTGGTTCTGTGAGGAGCTTCAAAATGAAAGCTGTGAGGCTAACAGCTCCATGGGAGCCAGCAGGATGGAGGTTTCTGAAGGTGACAGGAGCTCCTGGCTGCAGCGGGGACGTCTTACCTGCATGGAGTAGTTGGCTCCAACCTTCACCAGGTTCTTGACCAGCTCAGCGGTGTGCTGGAAGTGGATGTTGGCTGAAAGAGAAAAAACAAGTGGGAGAAGTCCTCTCCTCAGGATGGAGCAGTAGCAGATCATCCTTCATCTCACCATCTGCTGTGGCGTGAACCAGCATCAGCGTCTGCTCCCTGAGGGCCTGGACGTTCTGCAGCAAGCTGGACCCCTGCAGAGATCCACACAACCTGCTCATGAACCTCAGCAGCAGCTTCAAACGCAGCAGAAGAACGGAGAGGAAACTCACCTGGTACCTGGTGTCATCCCGGAACGGCACGCCCAGGTACCGCTCGGAGAACGCCGACGCTGCAGAAGACAAGGATGGAGAGTCAGATCCACAGGAAGGAGGAGACCTCCTGGTTTATGGGAGAAGATCTAAACGCTGAATATAAACGTCCTCTGAGGCAGAGATGTTAGAGTCATCAGGAATAGGAGGAGCTGCTGAGGAACCAGGAGCTCCATCCTCCTCCTCACCTCTCCTTACTCTGAAACCTCCTCTGGAACGTCTCTGATGACCTCCAGGCTGATGGAGCGCCTCTCATCTAAACTTCACCACATCGTGACATCATCTTTGGTTGATCTGTGGTCATCTGGGATTTGCATTTTAGGAGAAACTCTAAGGCTCCTGAGGAACCTCCTGCTCCTCAAGGACCTCCTGCTCCTCAGGGACCTCCTGCTCTTTAGGGACCTCCTGCTCCTCAGGGACCTCCTGCTCCTCAGTGACCTGCTGCTCCTCAGTGACCTCCTGCTCCTCAGGGACCTCCTCCTTGCATGTTCTAGTGTCTGTCTGCTCCGCTGTTTGAGCTCAGAGCAGCAGCAGACTGTTAGTCACTGTTCCAGTCCAGCAGGAAGCTGCAGGTCCCTGAGAAGCAGGTTGGAGACCACGGCTCTGAAGGCCTGAGAAGCTGCCTTCAGATTATTGCTGATCTCTTCCCATCCTGTCTGGTTTCTAACAATCCTGTTGCTCTACAGCTGCTAACTGCTAAAGCTACTGTTAGAACAAAATGTGAATATCAGAGGAGCAAGATGATAAATGAAACATCTAGGTGTGGCAGGGTATCGATACTTTCAGAGTATCGATACTTTCAATGTACGGATACTTTCAGGGTATTGATACTTTCAGAGTATCGATACTTTCAGAGTACCGACACTTTCAGAATATCGATACTTTCGGAGGATCGATACTTTCAGAGAATCAATACTTTCAGAGTATCGATACTTTTGTCAATCTCACTCCCTGAGCCCCCTGAGGATGACCTAAGTTCTCTGGGCTCCAGCTGAAGCGGTTCCTCACCGTAGAGCTTCCAGTCCGTTACCGGCGACATGGCGGAGGCGCATTTAAACAGGCCATCTGTGGACTTCAGCATCATCAGCGCCAGGTAGGCTCCGTAGCCCTGAACAGGACGGCAGACATCTTTAAAACCCACCAGAACCAGCCTCACAGGGCCGACAGAACCCACCCTCTCTGCTGTTCTCACCTTTCCGAACACGGCTATCCGGGTCCGATCGATGTAGGGAAAGTTCATCATGTATCTGGAGGAAACACACGGTGGAGATCATCACTACCCCTGAACTGGACCAGGACCGCGCCGGTCCAGGTTTTAGTTTCTGGTTAACAAGAAGCTGCAGGATGTTTAACTTTATCTGTTTATAATAAGATGCATTTGGAGCTGAGCTCTGAGACACAGAACCCAACCGGACCTTCAGACAGAAGGAAGAGCAGAATGAGGTGAATGAAGATGAGCTGATGTGTTTTTGGGTCCTTAAGCGGTTCTGATCAGCAGTGATGATGGAGAACATCTGATGGACTCACTCCACTGCAGCCAGCTGGTCCTGGACGTCCACGGTTCCCAGCCTCTGGTGGACCTCATGCAGGATCCTCTGACCCTGGAAGCCGCTGCCCCGGCCGTCCAAACGGGCCACGATGACGCTGTCGGAGCTGACCAGCACCGAGTCCCAGCCCAGGGAGAACCGGTCACTCACAGACTGACCACCGGGGGCGCCGTCACTGCACCCAGAGGACATGACACTTCCTGTTAGAGAGGCGGCTTTATGCTCCTGTCTGAAATGAGACTGTTAGAGTCCAAAGGTCGGAAGGTCCGACCCAGTTCGTTTCTCTCTCCATCCGCTCGGCCTGAAACTCGACCAAACAGTCATTTATCGCCTGATGAGGCTCGTTTGCTCCTTTCAGCAGGTTTTCAGCTAAAAGTTGATGTAAAAATCAAACCTTAAATGTTTTCAATAAATCCTGATAAATAAACAAACCAGTTAATCTTCATCAGAACTCAGTGACGATGGTTCTGGATCCACTGACCTTTACGGTCCACATCCTGTCCAATATGGAGGATAACTGCCCCCAAAAATACAATAAACAAATAAATGAGCAGTCAGCTCGCCGACAGCTTCGTGGTAGGTAGCCATCTTGGTTGTGACTGTGACTGACTTAATAAATAAAGGTGAAGATTATGACGGACAATAAATAGATCAGGTAATTATTACAAAGGCAAATAAACAAAGAAGCTAATTAAAAGAGATGTATACATTTATGTCTCACTGTAGAATTTCCTTTCTACCTACATTTATTGGTTAATTGTATTTTTGGGGGCGATTAATGTTATGCTTGTTTATTTACTAAGCATTTATTTATTTCTGTATTCATTGTTAAATATGGCAGAGCTGGTCCTCCATAACCCAGTGGTCTCTATATGGAAGAAAAACAGCATCATTGGAATCTGCCTTTTATTAGAACCGAATTTTAAACATGAAATTCTTTTGACACATTGAATTCCTTACATCAGGGGCTTTCAAGGTTTTCCAGGCCAAGGGCCCCAAACTGATGGCCAGATGGAGCGGGGACCCCCTGATTATATATATAGTATTAGATAGTGTTCTATTAAACTGGTCCTATAGTCACTCTATTACAGATGGAGTAATGTAACTAAAGTAATCCCTCCCTGGGATTATTAAAGTATTTCTGATTCCTGGTTGATGGGACAATTATGTTGACCTTTTGGTGAAGTCAAGCCAAAGCAATCTCCACTCGAAGCAGTCAAGACTGCAGTCAAAGCTTCGACTGCAGTCAAGCAGTCGAAGCTTCTAGCCAATGAAAGGAGCTCATTTAGTCATGTGACACGACAGTTGGACTTAGATTTGTTCACGGCTGAATGAAGCTGAAAGAGGAGTTTTTATTTTTCTTCTTGTGTTACAAGAAAAGTAGCTACTAATAGACAGACGTTAGAGTGGGACTGGGTGAAATAACCGAGCCGATCACAGCCAGTGCGGCACCCCCCTCTGCCAAGCCTCTTGGTTTGATCCAGAAGATTCTTTGACCAAATGAGCTGATTTCATATCTGATTAATAGTTAAAAAAGGCTAATTTATTGTTTATTTAACTTCCACCCAGATTCAGGTTTAATAAAGCTTAACATTCCCGTCATTGAACTTAATGTTCTGCTACATCCTGTGAAGAGAACCTCCAGAGAGCCGCCTCAGGACTCTCAGGCACCGACCAATCACTTCCCAGCTTTTTCAGAAATGACCTTTGATCTTTTTATGATCAAAGTTACTGTAGAAAACAATCCAGATCTGGAGCGGCTCTCCGTTAAGAGGCAGAACCTCTATCACCTCTACAGCTCCTAATGGAAGGAGAACGGCGTGGGCTCAGGTTCTGGTTCTTACATCATCAGCAGTAGTCCGTAGTGACGGGACTCTGAGAAGTCCGGAGGATAGGCGACCTGGAGAGGTAGATCTGTGAAGATAGAGACAACACGTTTCTGGACTGCTCTGGACCAACGGCAGCAGGTCTGTAGAACTGAAATAGATTCTCACCAAAATGCTCGACCGGGACGGATCTGAAGTCCATCAGCTGGATCCTTTTGTACTTCAGAACGGCCTTAAGCACAGAGTTGTTCTCCAGGATGTAGTAATCTGCAGTGATGATAGAAGTCAGAGCGATGTAAAGAGGACCAACCCAACGGGTCTCTCAGTAGAACCCTGATGATAGATTCATCTGGGCACAAAAGACGCCACACAAGGAAGAAAAGAACTCCAGTTCTGTTGTTTCTAGAAGTTATGAGGAAAATTAAAAACGGGGCTAAAAAACGGATCCAACCAGACCCCGGTCACCAGAACCGTCAGAGGTCCGACCCGGTCATCAGAGACCCGATGGTAGCTGAGGCTAAACCTCAGGAAGTTCCTGGGTTCAGGGGGGATTACGTCACTAAGGGGAGATGATGTTCCTGCTGGATTTCTTCATTGGCTGCTTCAGACACCAGCCAGCTCAGACCAATTATCCGCTTCAGCTTCCTCCTTCCACCATGAGGCAGCTGCCCTCATCTTCCTCAGGGGGAGATCATCAGAGGTACCAGTTCTCCAGACGGAGGAACAGTTACAAACCAAACATCATCGTGTTATCATGTACTCTGTTGTGTCCTCTGAGGTGTTCCAGGGACGTCCCCTTGGCGTCCTGCCAAGGGGACGTCCCTGGAACACCTCAGAGGACAGCGTCCAGCGATCATCAGACGAAGATGTCCGGGGCTTTGGTTTCCCTGGCGCTCGCCTCGGTGCTCTGGGGGGGGGGCGCCTCTTTGGCTCCTCACGACCACTATTGAGCATTTTTCCTTTGGATAAACTTTACATGCAGTAGTTCACTCTCACAATCAACTACAGGTGCTTGGTTCCAGGTACTCAGAGATTCTGACCTTCAGGTAACACAGAGTACATGTCAGATTGAATAATAGTACTTATACTTCAGCGATAACATCTAGGTTTTACTTTATTGTATCTCTATATTTGTTGGTTGTGCTGTTGTTTTTCCATCTCTTTGCAGGTGATGAAGCAGACTGAAGATGTTTTATCATTTTCTCCCTTCTATCTCCTCTTTCTTTTGCGTTTTCCTTTCCTGCTCTACCTACATTGCAGTGTCCATATAATCTGTAAAACTCCCTGCATAATTATAATAAAGCTTTTTATATGCATAAGTCAAGCGGATCACTATGGCGATAGCCGTACTGCTCCACTTGTGAAAGTAAAATTTGTTGGGCTCTTTTTGGCATCAAGACAATTATTCTTATTGCCTCATTGCCAGACAGGACACTGTTATAAGATAAATAAATAAAAAAGAAGGAAGTCGATGCGACTCTTTCACTGAGAGACTCTGCATTCCTGTAAACTCTGCAGGGCTGATAATCAGGCAATGCAGCTCCTTCCTGCTGGGATAGATACATGTTTGCTGTGATATTATCAAAGTTAGTATTATGTTTCTCTGTTTCACAGCTCTAAACTCAGGAGGACAGGTTAGTGCGGATGGTGGTGGTGCGAGAATATGGTAGAAAACCAAAGTTAAACGTTGGCCATTTTTAATGTCGTCATATGACATTGCTACACAATAAACACCTCATCGTTACTCATCGTTCACAGCCACTAGAAACAGAAATTTAATTCAATTTAACTGCAACCGAAATCAGGATGTTACCAAACTACGCGCTGCTCCTTGTGGGAAATGATGTCTTCCTTTTGGCAAAACAATACAGCTTCTGTCCACTGGAGGGAGCCAAAGTTATTTAGAAGTGCTTTTAAAATCAATCATCTAAGCAGATATAGATTTATGCTTAAAGTCGTAGGGAAGCGGCCGTTCCAACCGTTGCATTTCCGTATTCTCCCAGTGGTGCCCGACTTTACAAGAGTGAATAAAGTGAATGTGATTGGTCGATTATCAAGGGGGCGGGGTTGTTGTGGAGGAAGGTTAGCAAGTAAGTTTGATTGTAGCCGGTTTGTGGGAAGCATCCTGCTAACCAGTTAGCTACTTAGTGCTAGCACGTTCCCAATGGGAAATTCCATTGGGACCAAGTAGCACTAAATTGGTGGGGTAGATAACACAGGAGGGAAAAAGCAGAGTTTATTGTAATGGCTGAACAGGATTCGGTTCTGGCTGAAAGTTTTAATCTGGACCAGTTACCTGAGTTGTTGAGGCTGTGAAGGATCACAGTCGGAGCCCCTGGACCTAAACAGAGAAGAACATCCATTCAATTAAAATATCTTAACACTTCTGGTTGCTGATTATGACGCACAAATACATACACGTTATTATTTCTTAAGATAAAATCATTTCAGATTTTCTTTGTTAAAAGTTCAGAGAAAAAACTAGTTTAGCTGAATCACTTTCCTCCTTTTTGATAACAACAGGTTTGACTTGAACCAATCACAGACTTCCTGTCTGACCTGAACCAATCACAGACTTCCTGTCTGACTTGAACCAATCACAGACTTCCTGTCTGACCTGAACCAATCACAGACTTCCTGTCTGACTTGAACCAATCACAGACTTCCTGTCTGACCTGAACCGATGACAGACTTCCTGTCTGACTTGAACCAATCACAGACCTTCTGTCTGACCTGAACTGATGACAGACTTCCTGTCTGACTTGAACCAATCACAGACTTCCTGTCTGACCTGAACCGATGACAGACTACCTGACTGACTTGAACCAATCACAGACTTCCTGACTGACTTGAACCAATCACAGACTTCCTGTCTGACCTGAACCGATGACAGACTTCCTGTCTGACTTGAACCAATCACAAACTTCCTGTCTGACCTGAACCGATGACAGACTTCCTGTCTGACCGGAACCAATCACAGACTTCCTTTCTGACCTGAACCAATCACAGACTTTCTTTCTGACCTGAACCAATCACAGACTTTCTTTCTGACCTGAACCAATCACAGACTTTCTTTCTGACCTGAACCAATCACAGACTTTCTTTCTGACCTGAACCAATCACAGACTTTCTTTCTGACCTGAACCAATCACAGACTTCCTTTCTGACCTGAACCAATCACAGACTTTCTTTCTGACCTGAACCAATCACAGACTTTCTTTCTGACCTGAACCGATGACAGACTTCCTGTCTGACTTGAACCAATCACAGACTTCCTGTCTGACCTAAACTGATGACAGACTTTCTGTCTGACCTGAACCAATCAGAGACTTCCTTTCTGACCTGAACAAATCACAGACTTCCTGTCTGACCTGAACCAATCAGAGACTTCCTTTCTGACCTGAACCAATCACGGACTTCCTGTCTGACCTGAACCAATCACAGACTTCCTGTCTGACTTGAACCAATCACAGACTTCCTGTCTGACCTGAACCGATGACAGACTTCCTGTCTGACTTGAACCAATCACAGACCTTCTGTCTGACCTGAACTGATGACAGACTTCCTGTCTGACTTGAACCAATCACAGACTTCCTGTCTGACCTGAACCGATGACAGACTTCCTGTCTGACTTGAACCAATCACAGACTTCCTGTCTGACCTGAACCGATGACAGACTTGCTGTCTGACTTGAACCAATCACAAACTTCCTGTCTGACCTGAACCGATGACAGACTTCCTGTCTGACTTGAACCAATCACAGACTTCCTGTCTGACCTGAACCGATGACAGACTTCCTGTCTGTATTGAACCAATCACAGACTTCCTTTCTGACCTGAACCAATCACAGACTTTCTTTCTGACCTGAACCAATCACAGACTTTCTTTCTGACCTGAACCAATCACAGACTTTCTTTCTGACCTGAACCAATCACAGACTTTCTTTCTGACCTGAACCAATCACAGACTTTCTTTCTGACCTGAACCAATCACAGACTTCCTTTCTGACCTGAACCAATCACAGACTTTCTTTCTGACCTGAACCAATCACAGACTTTCTTTCTGACCTGAACCAATCACAGACTTTCTTTCTGACCTGAACCGATGACAGACTTCCTGTCTGACTTGAACCAATCACAGACTTCCTGTCTGACCTAAACTGATGACAGACTTTCTGTCTGACCTGAACCAATCAGAGACTTCCTTTCTGACCTGAACAAATCACAGACTTCCTGTCTGACCTGAACCAATCAGAGACTTCCTATCTGACCTGAACCAATCACGGACTTCCTGTCTGACCTGAACCAATCACAGACTTCCTGTCTGACTTGAACCAATCACAGACTTCCTGTCTGACCTGAACCGATGACAGACTTCCTGTCTGACTTGAACCAATCACAGACCTTCTGTCTGACCTGAACTGATGACAGACTTCCTGTCTGACTTGAACCAATCACAGACTTCCTGTCTGACCTGAACCGATGACAGACTTCCTGTCTGACTTGAACCAATCACAGACTTCCTGTCTGACCTGAACCGATGACAGACTTGCTGTCTGACTTGAACCAATCACAAACTTCCTGTCTGACCTGAACCGATGACAGACTTCCTGTCTGACTTGAACCAATCACAGACTTCCTGTCTGACCTGAACCGATGACAGACTTCCTGTCTGTATTGAACCAATCACAGACTTCCTTTCTGACCTGAACCAATCACAGACTTTCTTTCTGACCTGAACCAATCACAGACTTTCTTTCTGACCTGAACCAATCACAGACTTTCTTTCTGACCTGAACCAATCACAGACTTTCTTTCTGACCTGAACCGATGACAGACTTCCTGTCTGACTTGAACCATTCACAGACTTCCTGTCTGACCTGAACCGATGACAGACTTCCTGTCTGACTTGAACCAATCACAGACTTCCTGTCGGACCTGAACTGATGACAGACTTCCTGTCTGACTTGAACCAATCACAGACTTCCTGTCTGACCTGAACCGATGACAGACTTCCTGTCTGACTTGAACCAATCACAGACTTCCTGTCTGACCTGAACTGATGACAGACTTCCTGTCTGACTTGAACCAATCACAGACTTCCTGTCGGACCTGAACTGATGACAGACTTCCTGTCTGACTTGAACCAATCACAGACTTCCTGTCTGACCTGAACCGATGACAGACTTCCTGTCTGACTTGAACCAATCACAGACTTCCTGTCTGACCTGAACTGATGACAGACTTCCTGTCTGACTTGAACCAATCACAGACTTCCTGTCTGACCTGAACCGATGACAGACTTCCTGTCTGACTTGAACCAATCACAGACTTCCTGTCTGACTTGAACCAATCACAGACTTCCTGTCTGACCTGAACCAATCACAGACTTCCTGTCTGACTTGAACCAATCACAGACTTCCTGTCTGACCTGAACCGATGACAGACTTCCTGTCTGACTTGAACCAATCACAGACCTTCTGTCTGACCTGAACTGATGACAGACTTCCTGTCTGACTTGAACCAATCACAGACTTCCTGTCTGACCTGAACCGATGACAGACTTCCTGACTGACTTGAACCAATCACAGACTTCCTGACTGACTTGGAACAATTACAGACTTCCTGTCTGACTTGAACCAATCACAGACTTCCTGTCTGACCTGAACCGATGACAGACTTCCTGTCTGACTTGAACCAATCACAAACTTCCTGTCTGACCTGAACCGATGACAGACTTCCTGTCTGACTTGAACCAATCACAGACTTCCTTTCTGACCTGAACCAATCACAGACTTTCTTTCTGACCTGAACCAATCACAGACTTTCTTTCTGACCTGAACCAATCACAGACTTTCTTTCTGACCTGAACCAATCACAGACTTCCTTTCTGACCTGAACCAATCACAGACTTTCTTTCTGACCTGAACCAATCACAGACTTTCTTTCTGACCTGAACCAATCACAGACTTTCTTTCTGACCTGAACCGATGACAGACTTCCTGTCTGACTTGAACCAATCACAGACTTCCTGTCAGACCTGAACTGATGACAGAATTCCTGTCTGACTTGAACCAATCACAGACTGCCTGTCTGACCTGAACCGATGACAGACTTCCTGTCTGACTTGAACCAATCACAGACTTCCTGTCTGACCTAAACTGATGACAGACTTCCTGTCTGACTTGAACCAATCACAGACTTCCTGTCGGACCTGAACTGATGACAGACTTCCTGTCTGACTTGAACCAATCACAGACCTTCTGTCTGACCTGAACTGATGACAGACTTCCTGTCTGACTTGAACCAATCACAGACTTCCTGTCTGACCTGAACCGATGACAGACTTCCTGTCTGACTTGAACCAATCACAGACTTCCTGTCTGACTTGAACCAATCAACGCACTGCACTCTGTCTGACTCTGAACCAATCACAGACTTCCTGTCTGACTGAAACCAATCACAGACATCCTTGTCTGACCTGAACCGATAACAGGCTTCCTGTCTGACTTGAACCAATCACAGACTTCCTGACTGACTTGAACCGATGACAGACTTCCTGACTGACTTGAACCGATGACAGACTTCCTGACTGACTTGAACCGATGACAGACTTCCTGACTGACTTGAACCAATCACAGACTTCCTGTCTGACTTGAACCAATCACAGACTTCCTGACTGACTTGAACCAATCACAGACTTCCTGTCTGACCTGAACCGATGACAGACTTCCTTTCTGACTTGAACCAATCCCAGACTTCCTGACTGACTTGAACCAATCACAGACTTCCTGTCTGACTTGAACCAATCACAGACTTCCTGACTGACTTGAACCAATCACAGACTTCCTGACTGACTTGAACCAATGACAGACTTCCTGTCTGACTTGAACCGATGACAGACTTCCTGTCTGACTTGAACCAATCACAGACTTCCTGTCTGACCTGAACTGATGACAGACTTCCTGTCTGACTTGAACCAATCACAGACTTCCTGACTGACTTGAACCAATGACAGACTTCCTGTCTGACTTGAACCGATGACAGACTTCCTGTCTGACTTGAACCAATCACAGACTTCCTGTCTGACCTGAACTGATGACAGACTTCCTGTCTGACTTGAACCAATCACAGACTTCCTGTCTGATTTGAACCAATCACAGACTTCCTGACTGACTTGAACCAATCACAGACTTCCTGTCTGACTTGAACCAATCACAGACTTGCTGTCTGACCTGAACCGATGACAGACTTCCTGACTGACTTGAACCGATGACAGACTTCCTGACTGACTTGAACCGATGACAGACTTCCTGACTGACTTGAACCAATCACAGACTTCCTGTCTGACTTGAACCAATCACAGACTTCCTGACTGACTTGAACCAATCACAGACTTCCTGTCTGACCTGAACCGATGACAGACTTCCTTTCTGACTTGAACCAATCCCAGACTTCCTGTCTGACTTGAACCAATCACAGACTTCCTGTCTGACCTGAACCGATGAGACTTGCTGTCTGACTTGAACCAATCACAGACTTCCTGTCTGACCTGAACCAATCACAGACTTCCTGTCTGACTTGAACCAATCACAGACTTCCTGTCTGACCTGAACCGATAACAGACTTCCTGTCTGACTTGAACCAATCACAGACTTCCTGACTGACTTGAACCGATGACAGACTTCCTGACTGACTTGAACCGATGACAGACTTCCTGACTGACTTGAACCAATCACAGACTTCCTGTCTGACTTGAACCAATCACAGACTTCCTGACTGACTTGAACCAATCACAGACTTCCTGTCTGACTTGAACCAATCACAGACTTCCTGACTGACTTGAACCAATCACAGACTTCCTGACTGACTTGAACCGATGACAGACTTCCTGTCTGACTTGAACCGATGACAGACTTCCTGTCTGACTTGAACCAATCACAGACTTCCTGTCTGACCTGAACTGATGACAGACTTCCTGTCTGACTTGAACCAATCACAGACTTCCTGACTGACTTGAACCGATGACAGACTTCCTGATACTTCCTGACTGACTTGAACCAATCACAGACTTCCTGTCTGACTTGAACCAATCACAGACTTCCTGACTGACTTGAACCAATCACAGACTTCCTGACTGACTTGAACCAATCACAGACTTCCTGTCTGACCTGAACTGATGACAGACTTCCTGTCTGACTTGAACCAATCACAGACTTCCTGACTGACTTGAACCGATGACAGACTTCCTGATACTTCCTGACTGACTTGAACCAATCACAGACTTCCTGTCTGACTTGAACCAATCACAGACTTCCTGACTGACTTGAACCAATCACAGACTTCCTGACTGACTTGAACCAATCACAGACTTCCTGTCTGACTTGAACCAATCACAGACTTCCTGTCTGACTTGAACCAATCACAGACTTCCTGACTGACTTGAACCAATCACAGACTTCCTGACTGACTTGAACCAATCACAGACTTCCTTTCTGGCCTGAACGGATGACAGGTCTCTGATGGACCAGTGTCCCCCAGTTAACTCCCCCCCAAGGTCCAAAGCAGGCCTACCTTTACAGTGGAGCAGAACATGCTGCTTGCAGGGGCTGATGTCAGCGTGGAAGTACAGACAGTGAGCTTTGCTGAGCTCACAGGTCAGACATCTCCGTGGGAACAGACCCACAGTTTTAACGCTGAGGACAGAAAAGGTCAAATATGAGGCTTTAATGGTGGAACCACAAACATGTTCAGCCTTTGATCTATTCAGACTGATGATAAATGCAGCTCTAGTCTAGATGAGGTGTTCTGCTTCTGGGTAACAATTACTCCAATTAAACAAGATCATCCTTCAGTTTTATTACCAGACTAACAGACTCTGACCCTGTTGGTTTAATGAAGCTTCATCACACCAAACAAAACAAGATCAGGAGAAGTCCAGCAACCATCTGGCTGTTCTCAGCTGGACTGGTTACTAAACTGGGAGCAGAACCAAAACAGCCGAACCTGTAAAGCTGCCGTCTCCGTGGTGATCCCTCGGTACTCAGGAAATACCTGGAGGGGAAATAAGCAGAGTCAGCCCCGTCAGACAGAATTCACAGCTGACCAGTTTCCCTACAGGTTTCTGGTTTCCTTCTTTGGAGAAGCCTGAGCTCAACCAGCCGGCTTCTGATAATACTGGCTCTTATTCCCCAGGTGTCTGTGAGGGGCACCTGGATGGCTGGTTGCCAACGGAAACTATCTGGAAGTCCACACTCACAGGTTCTCTGTGTTCTCGTCGTAGGCGATGATCCTGGTCACCTCCCAGTTCCCGGAGGTCAGATGTCGGACCTCGTTCTGATCTGCTCTGAACTGAAACAGGCAGGAGCAGTAGAGACCTTTCAATGACAGTCAGGGTGGGAGCTGTTGCTATGGTAACGTCTGATGGAGGCAGCAGGGTCTTCCTGTGGGCGGAGCCTCACCTGTGTGGTGAACATGGCGATGTGGTGGAACTCTCCCCGTCCTCCCTGTTTGACGGGGACGGTCAGGAAGAAGCGCTCACCATCTTTGGAGAACACGGGCTCTTGGTTCTGTTGAGAAGAAACATGGATTCACTGAAAGGATGACCCACATCCATCAGCTGGGTGGTTCTGATGTTCTCAGCTAACGTTAGCCAGTCTGCAGCAGCCAGGGCTAACGTTAGCCCGTCTGCTGCAGAACTAAAGATTCCCTGGTCTCATCCTGCTCTACATCCTCCGATTTAAGCCGGTCATCTCTAGATGGTCTAGGTCTACGTTTACTGATCAGGAGTTCAGCTGAGGATGATGATGATTATGATGGTGAGGGGGTGAAGGTTCACCTGTTTGGAGAGCCAGAGATCGGAGCTTTCCTCATGTCTCTGCAAACAAGAAGAGACCCAACGTTAGAACCAATCAGAACCAGCAGGAGGAACTGGTTCTGTTCAGAACCAACAGGAAAAACTAAGCTGGTAGATCCAGATGTTTCATCAGGACTGACGGCAGGTTAAACAGATTTAGGTCCATCTGAACCCAGACTGGGTCAGAACTCAGCAGAACCTCCTCTGGCTGCAGGTCTCTGGTTTTATCTCCAGCAGACTGAGGTTCTGGACGGATGGAGAACCATCCAACCACACTGTTGGATATAGGTCTGGACTTTGACTAGGCTACTGTGACCCATCATCCTGCTGTGATCTAAATACTTGGACTTTAGTCCAATGGGCTGAACCCAGAACTAGAAATAGATGATATAGAACCCTGCTGCTCTAGAACCTCTGGTTCTCTAGCTTTAAGAACAGAATCCGCTGTAGAACCGCTAAGATGGTTCTGCTCTATGGTTCTGGTACCAAACGAAGACATGACGTCCTGGTTTGGTTTGGACCACCAGGCTGGACTTTGGTTCTGGTTCTATTAGAACCGTTCTGCTCCACTTTCTGTTTCGGGTCACAACCCGTCCTGTTGAAGTGAGAAGGTTCTATCCTGTGACCCGGTATGGAATGTTCTGGAACGGACCGTCACGCAAGCTCCGGTGGTGGTGTCGCACACGGTCAGGATGGAGACGTTCTGGGCCCGGTTCAGCCACCTCACCGCCGTCCTGGTCTTGCTGATCCATTTGACCATCGTCACATAATGTTCCCTAGAAGCAGAAAGTCGTCAGAGTGAGTCAGCACCGGCCCGGTTAAAGGTTCTGACAAAACGGAGTCCGCTCACCGCAGCCTCAGCGTCTCTGGCGGCATCAGCTCCAACGTGTGGGTCGGTCCGTAGATATTCACCACCAAGAGCTTGACGGTTGGGTTGGGTTGGCCCGCCTGCAGGACAGAAGACAGGTTTTTAAAACGGATCAGAACATTTAAGACACCTGGTTTCAGAACCGATTCCAGATGTAGGAACCTTGATCCATAGACCCAGGAAGGTTCTGGTCCTGGTTCTGCTCAGCGCATCGCTGAGTTAAACCGGACTTGACCTCCAGAACCGAACATCTAGCTGCTTTCTGACCAGCGGCGTCTTATCTGACCAGTAAGGATCTGATACTGGAAGCTGTGGGACGAAGTAGGAACCGCCGGTTCTGCTCATCCTTCAAGAGCTCACTGAGGTTCACGCTGATCTCTGAGGGTCTAAACAGGATCCCAGTCAGAACCTCAGGTCTGGACTTTGATCTGTGTTTGGTTAGCAGTTCTGCTGGATCCATTTTGGACCGAATCTTTAGCAGTTGGACTCTCAGCTCTGGTCTACAGAGATCTGGACCCTCTGAGACAGGTCCAGGGTCCTGACCTTTGACCTTTGACCTGTGTGGAGGACCTTGGTCCAGGAAATAAAGGTCTTGTCAGGAAGCAGCGGGTTCTGCAGAACCGCCACTGGACTCCCTGTTCTGTTGCTGCATGGAACCGCTTCCCCCTTCAGGTCACATGGAGGACGTCTTCTGGGCGGCCATCTTGTCTTCCGGCTGAGCGGGGGCAGAAGTCAGTGTCATGTTTCTTCCAGATGTTTCTGTTCTCTTCATTGGCGTTTAGGGGCGCTGTGATTGGCTGATTTGAACAGTGGAGGCGGGGTCAGCGGCCCCCCACTGCAGGCTGGTCAGAGGAACATCTGCTGTAAACAGGTTGATGCTTATTGTTTATCGTGGATAGTTACCTTGGGGTAGGGGTACTGCTTCTGTTTGGGGTACGCTGCACCAGTAAAGCGGGCCAGAACCATGTTTGGGACCAGAGTGTCGTTGAGGACCAGGAAAGCCAACCGCTCCCCATCCGGGGACCACCAGTGGGCCACGTGGGTCTGCAGGATCTCCTCTGTTCAACAGAAGCCTTCAGTTATGGTTGGGATCTGAACCCGACCTTCAAAGAGCAGAGCGATAACAGAGCAGGAACCTTCGTAGAGCCAGTCGGCGATCCCGTTGAAGATGACTCCTTCCTTCCCTGAAGACGTCAGACGCAGAGAGTTGCTCTTCACGTGAGATCGATAATAGATGTTGTTTTCAAAGATGTAGATCTGCACATATAGAGCAAAGTCATTCTCCAAAACACAGCATAACATCCCGTCATCACATGAAGGTAGATGGATGGGAGAGAAGCAGAACCACTTCCTGTCAGAAGCTCTGAGCCTTTCCAGAATCATCGGTACTTTTATACAGACGCCCTGGAGTCACATTTTCATTTTCTACTGGACACAAATTGTTTAGGTGATACGTTTATCGACCCGTCAATATTTTATATTATGTTTTTTTTTTAAATCGGTCAATATCTTCATCTGTTCCCTGAATGACCGGGCTCTGCATCTAACATTGTCAATGTCCTGTTTGATTTGTTAATAAAGGTTTGATTTTTGTTTAAATGAGAAAAGTTATGGTTGTGTCATTTTTATCAAGTAAATGAAGGAAGAAAAAGAGATATCAGCTTAAAGAACCGCTGTAGGTACCAGAACTGCTCGGGGCCCCGCCCCTTCTTATGACGTCATCCTACGGCAACTCCACTCAGACAAACTGTACTGCACCATCCTTTAGATTCTAATCTCTTCTGGAGTCTCAACATATTATTCCCTATATTTGCTATTATTTTCCATTTCACCGGCGATCTAAAGCAGCTGAAAATGGAAAACAATCACTGTCAGTCTGGAAGGAGAGTCCTGCCTTCTAAGACAGACTGAGCTCTGCTATTTAATAAGGAGAGACTAAAACTCGCAGCTTATTTTTATTCTTTTTATTAAGATCTAAAGTCAGAGGAGGACAAATGGAACATCTTTAAACATCCCCCTCATTTTGAAGTAACTCTCTCCTATTTTGCATACCCAAATGGAAAAGCAAATAACTGAGGAACTGTAAGCCTAAACTACACATGTGATATATTATTTGAAAGCTAAAACCTTCTAGTTTTTGAATATATTAATGAAAATCGGGTGAGTAAAACACAGCCTAAGCCGCAGCAGTTCAAACATGTTTTTTTCTTCTTGAAAATAATAGTTTTCTTTTTAACAGCAGTAATAAGGACATGCTTGAGAAAAGGCATTTCTCATTGTATTACATTTGTTCTATATCATATCATCTTATTTCACTGGCTACAAAGCCCAACAGCCCATTTGGTCTCAGCCAATAACAGCAGGAGTCTAGGAGGCATAATATCGCTCTACTCGCTGCGTCATTGGCTGACAGGAAAGGAGCGCTTGGGAGACTTCAGCGGCTGTCCCTGAATAAAACCGAGTCAGACAAAGATGCGGACACTTTTGTCTTGTAGGTAAGAAGATGTAAAGAACCACACCAAACATCGCAGGCTAACAACTGAGGTAAGTAATAGGAAGTAAATATTAACAAGATGCTAAGCATTAGCTATGACCAGCTAACTTTTCTGATGTCAAAAACCGGAGGTTATGTGGCCATTTTCTCATCATGGAATATTTTTTACTATAAATGGATTACTTTCATTCTGTGGATCCTTATGGATAAATGGAGTATAAACAATTGAAGATTGGATTTATAAAACGGCTTCTCGAAGCCTTAAAAGGTATATTACACATTTTACAAGTCATATTTACATTTTGACATGCAGGTATATCTGTGTTAATTGTGCTTTGGTGCTCGCTGTGTCCATAAAATGAACTTAGTGGTTAAATTGTGGAGAATTTAAGCTTTCCAATCATGTCTAACATGTTTATATTGGTAAACATTTTCATGCGTTCGAAGTTATTAGCTGTAAACGCTTTAAAACGGTTCGCCGGCGACCCGGTGGGTTTGGAGAGGCTAAAAATGACTTTTATAGATTTTACACAAATAAAACTGTTAATCTACTTGTAGAAAACGAACGGTTGTTTTGTTTTGTTGACACAATGTAGTAATGTAGCTTAATATGGCTAACTGAGCGACCTAAAAGAGGCTAACCTGTTAGCTACTGAGCACAGCTAGCCACACCTCTCCCTCTTTATATCACCGTCTTAACAGTTACTTTGTTCACCAGAAACAGATTTGTTATTAATCAGGTCAAACTTTATCGGTCATTAGACACGCTAACGCTACAGATGCTCCCGACTCGCCACACTGACGCTGCGTGATGTTATTATCGTTGTCTGGGCAACCACGTTTTACATCATATGGCAACATTCAGCCAATCAGGCAGCGTGACGTCACTGGCAGGAAGCAGATCTGGTAGCTGCAGCGGGCCGGTAATCAGCAGCAAATAATGGGATCAGTTCTACTGATAATTGGTGTTGGTCAGTTCATCCATCGATCTGGATCGTTCCTCAGTCACTACGGCGGAAACCAATCCTCCAGGTTATGAAAACATTTCTGGCATCAAAGCTGCAAAACCAAGGACTGCCTTTGGGTCCATGACACCATGATGACACCATGATGACACCATGATGGAACCATGATGACACCATGATGAAACCATGATGACACCATGATGACACCATGATGAAACCATGATGGAACCATGATGACACCATGATGACACCATGATGGAACCATGATGGAACCATGATGGAACCATGATGACACCATGATGGCACCATGATGACACCATGATGAAACCATGATGGAACCATGATGGAACCATGATGGAACCATGATGACACCATGATGACACCATGATGACACCATGATGAAACCATGATGGAACCATGATGGAACCATGATGACACCATGATGACACCATGATGGAACCATGATGGAACCATGATGGAACCATGATGACACCATGATGAAACCATGATGGAACCATGATGGAACCATGATGGAACCATGATGACACCATGATGACACCATGATGGAACCATGATGGAACCATGATGACACCATGATGAAACCATGATGACACCATGATGACACCATGATGGCACCATAATGACACCATGATGACACCATGATGGAACCATGATGGAACCATGATGGAACCATGATGGAACCATGATGACACCATGATGACACCATGATGACACCATGATGACACCATGATGGCACCATAATGACACCATGATGGCACCATGATGGAACCATGATGGAACCATGATGGAACCATGATGACACCATGATGGAACCATGATGGAACCATGATGACACCATGATGGCACCATGATGACACCATGATGAAACCATGATGACACCATGATGACACCATGATGGCACCATGATGACACCATGATGACACCATGATGACACCATGATGGAACCATGATGACACCATGATGGAACCATGATGACACCATGATGACACCATGATGGAACCATGATGGCACCATGATGACACCATGATGGCACCATGATGACACCATGATGAAACCATGATGGAACCATGATGGAACCATGATGGAACCATGATGACACCATGATGGAACCATGATGGAACCATGATGACACCATGATGACACCATGATGACACCATGATGACACCATGATGGAACCATGATGACACCATGATGACACCATGATGACACCATGATGACACCATGATGGAACCATGATGACACCATGATGGAACCATGATGACACCATGATGACACCATGATGGAACCATGATGACACCATGATGGAACCATGATGACACCATGATGACACCATGATGACACCATGATGACACCATGATGGAACCATGATGGAACCATGATGACACCATGATGGAACCATGATGGAACCATGATGGAACCATGATGGAACCATGATGACACCATGATGGAACCATGATGGAACCATGATGACACCATGATGACACCATGATGACACCATGATGACACCATGATGGAACCATGATGACACCATGATGACACCATGATGACACCATGATGACACCATGATGGAACCATGATGACACCATGATGGAACCATGATGACACCATGATGACACCATGATGGAACCATGATGACACCATGATGACACCATGATGACACCATGATGACACCATGATGACACCATGATGACACCATGGTCACCTGCTAAGGCCCGTTCAGCTAAACTAACGGTTGTTTCTGTAGCAGGAAGCTGGCAGACGTTCCATCCTGCAGCCCTGATGATGGATGAGCTGCAGACCAAACCCTACAAGATGTATTAGCTTCTACATCAGCTGTTTCAATAGACAGCCTGATGCACGAGTCAGCACTTTTTATGTCCACTGAAGTCATTAAACACGGCGTTAATCTGTAGCTAATGAAAAATACCAGCTTATATCGATACCCCAGTGATAACAGTCTAATTTACTGTATCGACGCAGCAGCAGAGCCTAAACCCAACCTCTGTGTTTCTAAATGAGAAGATTAAACAGGACTGGAGCCTCATTCATTGATTATTTCATTAATCAAACAATATGTCCATTTTTTTGATGATTCAAATGATCTAAAATTAGATGCTTTAAGTATATAATTATTTATAGAAAAAAAATGTATTCTTATGTTAAATAAATTGCAAATGGAAAAAAAATTACATAAATGTAGCTACATATACATGTAATTTGAAATATAACAGTAATTTTATCTTGAATTGAACAATTATGCTTATAAATGATTATGGATTATATTTGTAGTTTTGTTTTTAGGGTAAAAGTGCTATTGTAACAATTCAATATATTTATCTAATTAGTGGACTATTTCAATAAGCAATTAATCAATATTAATGATTTAATCAAATTAAATAAATGAAACAGATAAATAATTTCAGCCCTATACATGATATAATAAAAGGTCAGAAGCAGCTGGTGGCTAAAAAGTGTTAGCTTTAAAATCCAGCGGCTAATAAAATCCAAACATCCCATTTTCAGATGTAAATTAGTCAATTATATATATTAGATAAATGTGTGACACCTATTAGCAGCATTAAAGTGAGTTTTTGATCACCTGCATACCTGCTATGGCTCTACACCTTATTTTGGTCTTTGACCAATTAGCACTTTAGTTATTTTTCTTAATATATTCGGGCAAGATGGCGTTTCTTCTTATTACATTGACATTAATTTCTACCATCAAAATATCCATATTTTTTAATGTTCCAAAGGTAATAAGGTCTCTGCCTGGATTCCAATAAAACTATCGGCTGTAAATTCCGATTTTTAAAGTATTTCACTGAGGGCCCTATGAAGGTTTAATGATAAACAATATTTCATATAAAGCGTTGAGGTGAAGGAGCAGGTTTCCCACAGGAAGTGGTCCAGCTGGTTCTTAAGGCAGAGCCGTGGTTGGGACCTTACCAGCTGTTGGCCTGTGACTCCCCAGGCAGCAAACTGCAGGACTGAATTCACCACCTCTGGAGGATCCAGCTCCCACACCTCCCTGAGGAGAAGACAGAACAGAAGGAGTTCTGGTGGGCCAGAGATGACGGCAGCAGGACGGGTTTCAGGATCTAACGTCCGTCTAGGATTTATAGAAATCATCTAAGCTGATCTTCATCAACGTTCAACAGGTTTTTGCAGAACCACTCATGGTTGTGTGTTTTGGGACTTTAGCTTCTTCTTTACTCAGCTTTAGAAACAGAACCAGCTGCCCGGTCCAAACACTCCAGCACACGAAGGATGTGTGAAACCCATCAGCCTCTCCGTCTGGAACAAACACGGCACCATCTCCAGAACCTTCAGCATCTCAGGATGAATCTCATCCACAACTGAAACCTGTGGTTCTAGATTCTGAGCCCGAATCTGGAAGATCTATCATCCCTGAGTGGACCGCCTACTGCTTGACAAGTTCCAAGCTCAGAACCTGCTCTGGGCCTGGAGTTAAAATCTGACTTCCTGTTTCTCATCAGTTCAAACCCAGAAAAGGAAGCAGAGTTTCTGTGAGCAGCAGAAGAACCAGCTGGAGGACAGCTACGTGGGGGGCCTACTTTAACGCCTGGATGTTCAACAGCCTGAAGCCTGGATTCTAACTCTGACACCCTCGCCTCCAAAGCTACAAAAATACTACACTTATTACACATTATCACTAAAGGAGGCAGAGGAATAACTGAACATCTGACACAGAGAGCAGGAGAGAGGAGAGGAAAAAGGAAGAGTTGGAAGAGAGTCAAGGGAGGGAGAGAGAGAAGCCATAGCAATGCTAAGCTAGCGCTAGCCTAGGCTAGCTACTCCTTACTATCAGAAATGAAACCGTGTGAAACTGACAAGTGCTCAGTAGGAAAGTGCAGCAGAAGGTGCTATGTTTTAAAGTAGTTCTGGTCAGTTAGTTACTGAGATATCACAGAAAAAATTATTTAATTCAGACGGAGATCGTCTGAACAGCTACAGCACTGCTCAGTAGTCCAAACAGGAAGTGAACACGATACGTCTCACCAACAGCAGCAGCAGCCCCCTCTAGTGGCCATTAACAACTACTTAGCGACTCAGGTGAGTCTACCCTCCATCATCCTGTAGATCATCTCTCACCGTGTGTGGATGTTGTAGATGCTGTAGGAGGCCATGTAGGAGTGACGGTAGACCTGCAGGAACAGAGATGGAGATGTTAAAGCCAGAGACCAAGAGGAGACATTTAAAGGAGCTAAATGTCTGAACGAGCTGCCAGTCCTGACGGCCTGTGGACAGTTGTCATGGCGACAGCTGTGGGACTAGACATTTAATTCCTTCTGAGGATCCAGCAGACAGAGGGACGCTTCTTCAGGACAGGACCTTTCAGCAGGAGGCTACAGAAGAGAACCGATCTTAGCTGCAAGCGCCCCCTCAAGGACCACAGATGAATTACATGTAGGCTCAGTTAAATTAGTCTTTTTTTTTTTTAATCATGACACTAAATTGATGTAAAATGTGAAATATGTGAGTCCTTTTCCACGTTAAGGCGTTTTTGATGCTTTACTAACTAATCAAGAGTTAATTCTGATTCCATCTCCAATAATAAATGGAGTATTTCTCACAATCATTGTGATCTCTGAGTACATAAAGGGTTAAACTATATCATCAAATGCATAAATGCTAATCTATATGATTAAATAACTTAGTTATTTTAAATTTCTTTTATACCATCCCAATACAATATATACCATTACATGCAACAAACAATTAAATGTCCTTCAAAAAAATCTAATCACCTTCTGTTTTTTTTAAATTATGAATTAAATAATTTGTTTAGTGAAGTTATTTTGTTTTAAGGGGGTCTCCAGGTTTTTGTATTTTTCCTTTTGGGATCAAAAGGGCCCTCTAGTTCAGCTAATAATGGAATAAATTTGCTCTATTTCTACATAAAATATGATTAAAAAAATATAGATTTTTTTATTAATCGGGTTCTCGTATAAATAAAAACTGACTGTCCTATTTACTTATTTTTTCAGTCCAGGAGAGTCTCTGATTCTACATTTTAATGAAAAGCCTGATTCTATTTTTCTGTCAGAAACTCAATGTGCATAAATACTTTTCCGGCAGCAACAGTTTGTTTCATTTGGTTTGAATAAAACAAGCAACACAGATCTCAGAAAAACCTTGATGGTGGAATGAAAGTGTCTCTGGGCTGCATGAGACCAGAATATGGAGATGAGCTGTGATTAATGGCCAAGGCACTAATCCCTCCACAGCTCAGGCTCTGATTAGCGTTAGCATATCCCTGCATCCTCTGCTCTGATGGTACGCTGCTGATTGGGTCTGGATCTGGTACTGCTGAGGATCAATGTGACTTGCTGGTCTCATGTTACTCTAAAAATAAAGATGCATTTAGAGCAGCTCCCCGCCCCCACCTCAAGTCATCAGATCACTTTTCTGTCATGCTAATTCCTGCATACAGGTCCCAGCTAATCAGGGTTAAACCAACAGTTAATGAAGTCAGAGTCTGGTCTGAGGGGGCCATGGAGAAACCCCAGGACTGCTTTGAATGCACTGAATGGAACATGTTCAAAGTTCCAGCAACTTATGACAACAACATCAATATAGATGAGTATGCCATGACTGTCAGCCTACATCAACAAATGCATTGAAGACATCAGTATCACAAACACATCAAAGAACCCAATTGGGTCTGGGTCGCTAGTTTGTAGCTCTGTGCGACGGTCTGTTGGTTTGCACCCGAAGCCAAAACACGCAGCGCCACGGCCAGTCTTTGGGGAACACTCACGGGTGAACTGTGTGTCGTCCGGCGCTGGATTAGGGGTTGTAGACGGCGAACAAGCTCATCAAACCGACACACGGACACCCACAATCCTAGCTAGTTCCTGATTGGCCCTATGGCGTAGTGGTGTGGACTAACATAGCGCAGAGCACGCTTCAATATTAGGCATAAATCTAAAATATCTGTGTCATACCTGCGACAAGCTAACTGCAACACGCTGCTGTGGGAGGATAACCAGTACTTGACTCTAACCCATTTCCTTTTCTCTCTCTCATTCTTCTCTGAATGTTCAGAGGAACGTTAAATGAGCTATCAGGAGTCCAGGGGACCCACCAATCCAGAACACCGGCCCCTTATTGTTTCTCTTCTAAGCTGGATAAGCTCCATAAACACATGAGGGCCCAGAACAGAACCCTGTGGAGCTCCACTATTCAGAACAATCAGAATCTGAGACTTCAACAGAAACATCTCCAGAAACTGTGTTCCTAAACTGATCCGGCGGATCTTCATGTTCAACTATGAGCGGACCTTTCCCCAGCTGCAGGTTCTGATCTCCACCTCTTAGACCTGGTCCTGATCCGGATCCAGCTGGATCCAGCTGGCTTCTGTAAAGTCAATGTCCCTAGTGGTCAAGAGGAAGTGCTGAATAATGGCTGAAGGAGCTTCTTTCAACCAATGGCCTGATTTAGAGATACTCCAATTAAAGGTCATTTTATTTTTAAGCTGATGGTTAATCCTCTAATTAATTTATTGAAATCAATTAACTACAATAACTAGACTCGAGAACCACCACTGTTCCCAACAACCTCAACCAGTTCTTCCATTCAGGCTGATTCTGCTCAGTTTCTACCTTAGTCAGTTAATTAACCTGCTGCTGTCGCTCACCTGCTTCACATCGTAGGCAAACAGAACGTACTTCAGGTCAGGAGACACGGAGTACTTCTCCACGTTGAAGTTCACCTGGAGGAGAACAAGAGGATTCAGTCATTAGACGATGGAACCAACCAGGAGAGGGATGGTCGGTTCTGATGGTCCACCTCTGCAGGAAACCCTGAGCTGACCACCGAGCTGAAGCTTACTGCAGGGTTCTACACGATGAATAACGGGTCCAAGATGTTCTGCTTGAAGTTCTGTCACCTGTAGCTGGCAGTTAAAGCTTCAACTGAAGCTAAAGGAAGAGTCCGGTGGAGAGGTTCTGGAGAACCCCTGGGCTCTGGAGATTCTGGAGAACTCTGGGCCTCTGAGGTTCTGGAGATCCCCTGGGCCCTGGAGATTCTGGAGAACCCTGGGCCTCTGAGGTTCTGGAGATCCCCTGGGCCTCTGAGGTTCTGGAGAACCCTGGGCCCTGGAGGTTCTGGAGAACCCTGGGCTTTGGAGGTTCTGGAGAACCCTGGGCCTCTGAGGTTCTGGAGAACCCTGGGCCTCTGAGGTTCTGGAGAACCCTGGGCCCTGGAGGTTCTGGAGAACCCTGGGCTTTGGAGGTTCTGGAGAACCCTGGGCCTCTGAGGTTCTGGAGAACCCCTGGGCCCTGGAGATTCTGGAGAACTCTGGGCCTCTGAGGTTCTGGAGATCCCCTGGGCCTCTAAGGTTCTGGAGAACCCTGGGCCCTGGAGGTTCTGGAGAACCCTGGGCTTTGGAGGTTCTGGAGAACCCTGGGCCTCTGAGGTTCTGGAGAACCCTGTGCCCTGGAGGTTCTGTAGAACCCTGGGCTTTGGAGGTTCTGGAGAACCCTGGGCCTCAGAGGTTCTGGAGGACCCTGGGCCTCTGAGGTTCTATGGAACCCCTGTAGGTTCTGTATAATAATGCGTCCTGCCACCACCAGCTGACAACAGGAGTTCTAACCCTAAAGTGTGTGTTTGGGCACCTGGTTCTGGTTCCGGTTCTGCTCCCTCTCAGAGATGATTGGTACATCAGGAGAGAGACGAACTGTTGTTTGCTGTGAAGTCAGAACCAGAAACTCGGAAACCCCAGAAATAAATCCAGGGGGTCCAAAGTCCCTCAGAACTGGTCATCACTCTTTAGACTTTCTTAAATCTAGCCAAACCGGTTATGTCCGGACTTTGACTGGGCGGCTCTGAAACATTTCTGCTTTGGACCCATCAGAGTTGGACGTGCATCGTGGCTTTAATCACTATAGTCCACTAAGTCGTTACGCCTGGATCTTCTACAGGATCCGACAGTATATGCGATGTTCTGGTTCCAAAATGGGAAGTTAAAGCTGGTAACTGTAGCTAAAGAGACGAAGCATATTTCTGCAGTTGAGCAGTGGAGGTGTTTTAACTTACAAAGGTAGTGTTTGTCACGATTATGTCAGTCTCATTGGTGATGATGTTGAACTTGATGACGTGGCCGTCGCTGTTCCTGTAGATGACCTCAGAATCTGGAGAGAAGAAGAAGAAGAAGAAACTTTATCCAGCAGACACAACAAAACAGCAGCTAATGGCAGAGGTCAGACTAAGAAACAGCTGAAGGGAGGGAGAGACTGGTGTTTGATCCTGGAGGATAAGCTGAGAAAGAAATCCATCCATCCAACCACCCATCATCCATCATCCATCTATCCATCCGTCCGTCCGTCCATCCATCTTCTCATCGAGCAAAGAGCCTTTTCAGAGATTGAACTTTGAGCGTTTGAGCGTTTTTCCGTTTCTTGTTGAAGATAAACGTCTGATTTTTGTTCTAGAAGGAACAGAAATGTCCCTAAAACCAAACAGGGATCCAACACTACATCCAGGAAGACCAGATGGAAGGAACCAGGAAATCCGGATCTCCTGACAGGCAGGAAGGATCAGGCCCATCAGAACCAGAACAATAACTCAGAGATGAATCTCCAAGCATGTTTTAAAACAATGGGAATAAATGTTTTTAGCTGATTGGGTGAAATGGATCAGTGTCGGGTTTATGAAGCTCAATTAAAGCCATTTTCAGCGCCTGCAGCTCAGACACCAATTAGCCAAACTCAGAAGTTGGGAGGACGTCCAGACGGCTTAGAGATGGGACCTTAATGGTTTCAATCGTCCCACTGAAAGGAAGCCAAGGTAGAAATCAGGTCCAACGCCGCAGAGATCTCTGGCTGCCAGACTTCTTCATCAGATCCTCTGCTAATCCTTTCATGGTCGCTCTTTGGACTCCCACCTCTTTGGGAGATCATCTGTCGACTTGGAACTTTCTGGTTCATGAAAACTTTAATTAGCAAAATGTTTTCCTCTTTCTGCTTTTAGTTTCGCCAACCTTCTTCTGGACCCACCGCGGCGGTCCCAGTAGAACATCCTTTGGGTTCTACGGTGTGATTTCATGCCAGTCATCCAGGATTTGGTTTCAATCAGGTTTATATTTGGTCCTTTGATGTGCCATGTGCTTCTGGGCAAAGAAAGGCAGCGACTTGGCCGAAGTGGATCGACTGAAGCTTCTGGGAAAATGTTCCAACAAATCTGGACAAAGGACACAGTTCTCAGCGGGGCGGAGCTGAGCGGAAAGAACTTTGGTAAAGTTAACAAACTGAGCGAGAAAACGTTTGCATTGGTCTATGACAGGAAAGCAGGAGCAGGTCGGTCCCTGGATCCATGTCATATCTGGGTATCTATGGTGTCTCTTGGTCTATAGTGTCTCTGGGTCTATGGTATCTCTGGGTCTATGGTGTCTCTGGGTCTATAGTGTCTCTGGGTCTATAGTGTCTCTTTGTCTATAGTGTCTCTGAGTCTATAGTGTCCCTTGGTCTATAGTGTCCCTTGGTTTATAGTGTCCCTTGGTCTATAGTGTCTCTGGGTCTATAGTGTCTCGGGGTCTATAGTGTCTCTGGATCTATGGTGTCTCTGGGTCTATAGTGTCTCTGGATCTATAGTGTCCCTTGGTCTATAGTGTCTCGGGGTCTATAGTGTCTCTGGATCTATAGTGTCCCTTGGTCTATAGTGTCTCTGGGTCTATAGTGTCTCTGGGTCTATAGTGTCCCTGGATCTATAGTGTCTCTGGGTCTATAGTATCTCAGGGTCTATAGTGTCTCTGGATCTATAGTGTCCCTTGGTCTGTAGTGTCTCTGGGTCTATAGTGTCTCTGGGTCTATAGTGTCCCTGGATCTATAGTGTCTCTGGGTCTATAGTATCTCAGGGTCTATAGTGTCTCTGGATCTATAGTGTCCCTTGGTCTATAGTGTCTCTGGGTCTATAGTGTCTCTGGATCTATGGTGTCTCTGGGTCTATAGTGTCTCTGGGTCTATAGTGTCTCGGGGTCTATAGTGTCTCTGGGTCTATAGTGTCCCTGGATCTATAGTGTCCCTTGGTCTATAGTGTCTCTGGGTCTATAGTGTCTCTGGATCTATAGTGTCCCTGGATCTATAGTGTCCCTGGATCTATAGTGTCCCTTGGTCTATAGTGTCTCTGGGTCTAAAGTGTCCCGTGGTCTAAAGTGTCTCTGGGTCTATGGTGTCTATGTGTCTATAGTGTCCCTGGGTCCGTGGTGTCTCTTTGTCTATAGTGTCCATTGGGTCTTTGTCCCCTGTTGGTGCTGATCCAGAGATTGGCCAGGTTCTGGAACACACCTCCTGCCGATGGGTCCAGTGATTCAATAAAGTTCTGGTTCTGGTTCCTCTGCTGATGTTTAACCTTAGGAACGTTGGTTCAGTTCATTTCTGCTTCATCGGGACGTTTAGCAGAGACCAGCCCAGTGGATCCCAGCGTTTGTATCCAGAACAGAACCGTTTGGGTCATTTTAAAGGGACTGGATGTCCTGCAGAGCTTCAGCTCGGTTCCTCCCAGAAATGAAAACTTCGAGCTGATAAAAGAATCTGGCTGCAGTGATGTTTAAAACATGACTCTGCCTCTCTGCACTTGTCTCTTTAAATAATGGACCATTCTGAGCTAAAAACGACCCGGTTCTAATGTATAAGTACTGCTCCACGTCTGTAGCTCCATGAATAATGAAACGTTGCACCTTTTTTTCTCTGTGCAGCTTAAAAAATGGCAGCCGCTCACGCCAAGCGCCGCCTGCAGCTCCTCAGGCTGCAGGCGGCGGAAATTAGAGACCTAACCAACTAAAACATGGCTGCCGAGCCCCGGAGCGGCGTGGTGACAGCCTGCTTCCTGCAGCAAAGGAATCAAACAGAGAACCGAGGCGTAAGCTAATGACCTCCTTAATGTTCTCCTCTGGCTCACAGTAAACAGCAGATCTGAAGGAAAGGTTGCTGGTTCTAATCTCTGCTCTTCTTGCTGTCAGAAAATCTCTGTGACCAGGCTGTGGACTAGAAGGTTCTTCCTGGAGGCGGAGCCGGGCTGACAGGGATGGAGCGGGTCATCAGACTGAGCCAGTTCTAGACCCTCTGGGTCCCGCTGAGGTCTGGGACTTTAATAAAAACCTGATCTAGTATTTGGATCAGCAGCAGTGATCAAAGCTCTATCATGCCTTTCTATTCTACATGTTACTGATCTATGATCATTCAGCAGTCAGGGACTGAGATGCTGAAGCTCTTAGAGCTGCAGAAACATGATGCTGGCGAAGACGGGGAGGTTCTGAGGACCTTCAGCATCAGGTCCAGGTCTACTAACATCCAACAGCAGGAGCTAACTCAGCAGAACCCACAGAGAGCAGAGGTCTGAAGGAGCAGGCAGAAGGAGGTCCAGAGAGGAGGCTCCTGCTGGTTCTAGTAAAACTACACAGGTTCTGACTTTCTGCTCAAGGTTGGACCAAAGACTGATGGACTCTGATTGGTGGGACGGATCTCCTCATGGTTTCTATGTGTTAAATATCTACAGCTCCACCCCACAGTGCATGCCGCCCTTAGAGAAACTCTGATAAAATCCTCCAGCTCTCCTGATTGGCCCGTTGGATGGAGGAGCAGAACTTCTCTGACCTTCATGAACACAAATGGTAGGAAAATATATCTTTGTTTATTTGGTTATTATTTCCAACAGCAGGAACAATTAACTGTTAAAATAAAACAACGGGCAACTTTTACGTAAAAGTTTTTCTCCCTTTATGTTCAATTCTATTCAGTTTATTTCTATAGCTCCAATTCACATCCTGTCATCTTTGGTCACTTCATAGAGATGATTCAACCAGATCATCCAGTCAGTTTTCTATCTAAGGAAAACCAGCTGATTGCATCGACTCATTGACTCTTCAGCAATCCCTCACACTAAGCATGCTTGTAGCGACAGTGGAGAGGAAAAACTCCCTTTGAACAGGAAGAAACCTCCAGCAGAACCAGGCTCAGTGTGAGCGGCCATCTGCTGAGGCCCACTGGGGTTCAAGGAGACAGAAGCAGACATAGAAAAAGAAGCATAGTGTGCAGGATGTTATAGAAAGGTTCTCTGAATGAAAGAGAAAACTCTGGTTTTTAACTAAATTGGCAGCTTTTAATAAATGGTTAGTCAGGGTTAGAGTTAAGATAAGTTTGTAGATCACCAGACAATTTTGAAATCATGCTGTGAACCTGGTTTAAGAAAGTCCTCTGAGCTGTGAGGCATGGTAGAGGCAGCATCATGCTGAGGGCCACCAGAGGTACTATGTTCTCCACTAAGTAAATGGAAGAACCGTTTCCTGATGTTTTAAGTTCATCTCAAAGCAGAGCTACAGAGACCACAGACCACAGCTGGTTTCTGTGGAAAGAGCCGCTTCAGGAACCTCTGTTCTAAAAAGATGGATCCGGTCCGGAAAACTAACCGAAGGAACTGAACTCGGCCGGTTCTGCTAAGGAGAGCGGTCCGATTCCTGCCAGAAAGAGCCCAGAATGGAGACCCTGTAAGGATCCAATCTGAAACTAACTTCCTAATAATGTTGAGTAGGAATATATTAGAGCCTCTGGTCATCATACGGATCCAGACGGGATCAGAGGGAATCCAGAACTGATCCGGTTCTTTTTTAAACTCTGGCAGAAAGGAATCTGAAAGGTTCAGAAGGCATGACTTGTTCAAACTGGTTCTGCTGGTTACAGTCCGGTTCCTTCTGGATCCATTTATCAGAACCAGGCTGGAAGGTTTCCTGGGCTTTGAGCTGCAGAACCCCCATCATTGTTCCTGCAGGAAGGAGCTGAGAACCACAGGAAGCAGCATGGAGGCCAAGCTGCAGACCAGGATGCAGTCCTGACTGGGTGGCTGGTCCGGTCCGGTCCGGTCCGGTCGGGTTAGTAGGGCTGTGATGGCTGAGTGCGGCCTGCTGTCTCTGAGCTGCAGCTCAGAGACAGCTGCTTATAGACGGATCGCTGCTATTTGCTTCTGCAGATGCTGAGAGTAAATAAAGCAGCAGCTGCTGCAGGGCAGGACCTCTGCTGGAAAACACCATCTGTGCTTCAGCGTCTGGCAGCTTCCAGCTCCGACCTCCAGATCTCCTCCCAATGACGCGTTAAAAGCTTTTATTTCCTGTCTGAAGACGACGAGAAGAAAGCGGCTGATG